TTTTGAGACTGATCGGATAAACAACATGGCCGACAGGCAGCCATCTTTGATTTTGATATTGAAAGTTTGTTAGCGCTATTTCTCAAGAAGTACTGGAGGGATCTTTCTCAAATTTTATATGTATGTTCCCCTTGGTCCTTAAATGTTCAGGGCAATTTTAGAGACTGATCGGATAAACAACATGGCCGACAGGCAGCCATCTTGGATTTTGATAGTGAAAGTTTGTTATCGCTATTTCTCGGGAAGTACGGGAGGGATCTTTCTCAAATTTTAAATGTAGGTTCCGCTTGATCTCTTGTTGTGTATGTTAAATTTTGAGATTGATCATAAAAACAAAATGGATTAAAAGAAGAACTAAACAGATCTTTCTCATATTGCAATGATCGATTCTATTTCTTTCACATTAAGTACTGTACTAGTAAATATGTGAAATGACAAACTCACTTTGAAGGTTGGCTTTCATACACATCAATATTAAGTTTAGATCAAAAGTTACCTCAAGGTGCATTTACTGTTAACATGACTCGATCAAACAGATTAGAGGAAAGAAGAGAAAAGATTGAACTGACAAAGAACTAATGAAGATGGTAAAAAAGTGGGCGCCAAGATCCCTCTGGGATCTCTTGTCTTAGATACTTGTGACATAGTGTACATATCTTGGTTTACTTAGATGTTTGTGACATAGTGTACATATCTTGGTTTAGTTAGATGTTTGTGACATAGTGTACATATCTTGGTTTAGTTAGATACTTGTGACATAGTGTACATATCTTGGTTTACTTAGATACTTGTGACATAGTGTACATATCTTGGTTTACTTAGATGCTTGTGACATAGTGTACATATCTTGGTTTAGTTAGATACTTGTGACATATTGTACATATCTTGGTTTACTTAGATACTTGTGACATAGTGTACATATCTTGGTTTTCTTAGATACTTGTGACATAGTGTACATCTCTTGGTTTACTTAGATGTTTGTGACATAGTGTACATATCTTGGTTTATTTAGATACTTGTGACATAGTGTACATATCTTGGTTTACTTAGATACTTGTGACATAGTGTACATATCTTGGTTTACTTAGATACTTGTGACATAGTGTACATATCTTGGTTTACTTGGATACTTGTGACATAGTGTACATATCTTGGTTTACTTAGATACTTGTGACATAGTGTACATCTCTTAGGTACCAACTCGGTGATGCTGATTACTCCAGTGATGAAGAAGATGAGGAGGAGGCACCTGTTATGAAGAAGAAAACCCCTGTCCCTAGTAAACACAAGGCCAATCAAGGTAAAATGTCTTAGCTTACTCAAAGGTATCGGGTTACATGAGCAAATACCTTGGTACAGGAAGTTTGTAGTTTGCTTATTTCATCTTTTATTATTGCGATGAAATGTGTGTATATATGTTGATTTCATCTAATAGTCTTTTTGACACTGAAATTGAAAATTGTTTGACATTTTCAAAATCAAACATGAATTATTGATCAGCATTAACACTGAAGTTTCTATCTGAATCCTTGCATTCTGTGAAGTTTTTTGTAAGCTTGTTCAAATATTTTCAATAAAAAGTGAATCGGTGATAAAAAACTTAGATTTATTATTCAATCTTTTTTCATATTCTCAAGATGACAAAGCCTCGTCAAGTAAAGGATCCTCATCTAAAAAAGCAAAACTAGAAGGTTTGTTGGGTTCTTTATTTTTGCTTTTAGTGCTCATAATTCACTCAGTTTTATTTTTCCTTTGAGGTTTATTGCATATATATTTTTAGTCACCCCTGGGGAACCCCAGTGTGGACCATTTTTAATTAATTAATTTGACAATTAATAGAAACCATAAAGACATTGTTTACTGTTTAGGGTTAAAATACAGTGTTGTTAGTGTTGCCTGCCAAGTTCTCAACAATGAAATATAGGTCATAGGTAGATGGTCAAAATTCAGGTCAAGCCTGCTAATTTCAACATGAAACATGTCAGTGTCATCAAAAATGGCAGTAAGTAATATGATTAAATGTGCCTTTTAATATACTAGTATGTCTGACCTAGGGTGTATTTGAATCTTAAAGATTTTCAAAGGTGATCTTAAAGCTTTTAAAGGTTGATTTTTAAACACTTTCAATGTTGGAATAGGTAATCCAAATGCAGGAGTGTCAAAAAAATACTAAAATGTGCACAGGTCATAAAGGTCATTTGTAGGTTGACCTGAGCAAATGCTGGTGACTAATTGGTAGGTATGTTGTAATTATCTCTTAGTGAGATATTGTCTGTCATTTAGGATATTTAAATAAGTGAACTGTACATCAATACCTAGTTACTGGTTATGTTGTTCACATAGAGTGTGACGTTGTACTACATTGTGTTCCAGTGTACGATGACAACACAGACGTGGATTCAGGAGAAGACACAGAGGATGAAGTACGAAGGTATGAATTACAGTCAAAACTGTTGGTGATCTTAATTCGTAGCTACTTTCCCTCGCAACAAGGTCGTGGAGGGGATACAGCATTCTGTACATGCATTCTTTGAACCAACTATCAAAATGTGTCCCATATTAACAAGGTTTCACTGTAAAATCAATTTGCTTTGCATCACTTTCTTTCATTTAATTATAGAATAAAACAGAAAATGGAGCAAAATGACAAACCCAAGAGCAATGAAGCAGATGTGTATGGTGATTCGACAGACAATGATGAAGTGTCCTCTAAATCAGCACCCAGGGGAAATAGTAAAATGGAGGAGGAGGAGGATGACTCCAATGACTCGGGACTCCCTGAACTTCCAGATTTTTTCACCAACAAGAATTTTTTCCTGTATGGAGATTTTTCTGTATCAGAGAGACGTTTATTAATCCGATACATCACAGCGTATAACGGGTAGGTGAACAGTGTCTGTAGATGTCTCCCTCATACAATAAAACACGGAAAACCCTAACACATTTGTTAAAAAAAATGACTAGAAAGGGCGAGGAAAACAGCCATTTCTATATGTTTGCCTTTGTCATATTGATTGTATATCTATGTACTGTAAAGCGCTTTAGAGTGGCATTATGTTCTAGTTAAATAGGGCGCTTTATCAATTGTTGTATATTATTATTATAATACATAGCAGGTTTAATAAATAAACGGTTTGAACATTTTTCCACTCTTACTTTGGTTTCACTATTAATTTTGGACAATTTGTATCAGTATGATCTGTATAATTACAGGCCTAAAGTCTAATTTCTTGCTCTGGTTACAAATTAATAAACAAAACCTTTTTTGTGTATGATTTGGAAAAAAAATTGAAGAGATTGAAAGCAAAAAATCATGTTTTTAATGTTTACATTTTGACTTTTTGGTCATTTGACATGAATTAAGCAAGTTACAAGAAAGTTGGTTTGAGCAAAGAATCCATGCTTGAGCATGAGAACGGTTTCATGAATACAGGCCCAGGTTTTTGAGATTTTATACCTTTGAATGATCACTCTATATACTTAATTATTCACAGTGAACTGGAGAACTACATGAGTGATCAGACAAATTATGTACTGACCTACAACAAATGGGATGATAACTTTGATGAGGTAAGTAAGAGAACATACCTGTATACATTTCACTGATAAACAGTTTTTCACACGTTTTTGAAACTATGAAATGAATTGTTTAGCTTTTCAGTTAATCATGTGATGAATTTGTCGTTTGTTTGATATTCATATGCAGATTTAGGTAAATAGGTACTCCAGTTCAGGTGGCACAGAAATATTCCACAATAAGCAAACTCATTGGACCGAAACTGTGCTGAACTTACAGGGAGAGTTAAGAATTAAGTTTCGGTATTTTGTGCAAAAACAAAGTGGGGAAAAAATATATATCCTTCTTTCATGTGCACGAAATCTAGCCAGAATCAGCATTTTAGTTTCGGTCAGGCACGTCTGCACCCTTTGATAAGCACGCACCAAATTTTGCAGAGGTCAATCTTGGTTATGTAAAAGGGGCCTTCATGTCTGACCTGCTACCCATCATTCTTGTTTAGATGTATTTATATAATTCTGTAATTCCAGATTTTTATTTTCTTGATAATACAACAAAAACTATTGTTATATCTCATACTTAAAGAAAAGAAAACAAGCTTTCTTGGAGTTCATTAAAACTTTTCATGGCATAAAATTATATATGATTTCAAATAGTTTATATAAAATACAAGATTATGTAATGATTCCGGAAGTTCTCATTGTAGTGAGTATATGGTAAGATAAACTGAAAACTTCAGGAAAAGCTTCAAAATTTTAATATAAAATGAAAACCAATGAGATCTAGATCTGTTAATATCCCATTCAATAATCTGTGTGAACATTTTCAGATATTGATGATTAATTATGAGAAATATAATATTAAATTCATTTGTAACTTTCTAACAGGCGCTGGCTGACAACTCAAAGTTGGTGTTCGTGAAACCTAAATGGATTTACGCCTGTCATGAAAAATACAAGACTATGCCCTTCCAACCCTACAGTGTTGTGCCGGAATGATTGTGAAAGGATGGTCTATGTGACAAAAAGACGCCAGATCCATACACTTGTACCTGTTCTGTAGTTACACACTGTTTGATTTAAAGCCAGAAGTTTGTCACCTGCTCTCATAATGGGCAGTTTATAATCATGTTTACCCATCCCTTTCAGTGAACTAAGGAATTCTTTTATATGCAAAAGGATATAAAAGGACAGAATAAACAATGCAAAAGAATTAATAGCATTTTGTGTGTAAAGATGCTGGAGGGCCAGACCAGGGTTTGAACCCACTGACCTCCAATCATTGTGCCGTTACTCTAACCATCTGAGCTTACCAGGCAATGGTAGTATCCCGACCCACAGCTACAGCAATGATAGTATCCGGGCCCAATGGCTACAGCTATGGTAGTATCCCGGCCCAATGGCTACAGCTATGGTAGTATCCGGGCCCAATGGCTACAGCTATGGTAGTATCCCGGCCCAATGGCTACAGCTATGGTAGTATCCCGGCCCAATGGCTACAGCTATGGTAGTATCCCGGCCCAATGGCTACAGCTATGGTAGTATCCCGGCCCAATGGCTACAGCTATGGTAGTATCCCGGCCCAATGGCTACAGCTATGGTAGTATCCCGGCCCAATGGCTACAGCTATGGTAGTATCCCGGCCCAATGGCTACAGCTATGGTAGTATCCCGGCCCAATGGCTACAGCTATGGTAGTATCCCGGCCCAATGGCTACAGCTATGGTATTATCCCGGCCCAATAATAAAGGGAACGTTCCCGTATGTATGAAAAAGTAAAGTGTGGTATTTTCTTAGTGTTTTGCCTGCAGTGGGATGGGATACTTAACATACAGGTCTTGTTATCAATGGGATTTTTTGGTAGACATTTCAAATTGTTTACAGACTTATTTTTTTTGAAAGATAATTTCATTGAAAAATAATCTCTCTTTTCCATTTATATATGGTCTTCACATTCAGCTACATTTCATTTGTATTATTATTAATGGTAGAACATGCAATTTCCTCAATTTAAATATTTTCACCTTACTTGCCCTTGAATGAGATGGAAAATTCAACACTGGACACAAAAATAAAATCATGCAAACTTGTCAGAAGTGATATATGTCCAACATTAGGTAATTTTCTTTTAAAACTCCAGTTGGCAAAAATATCATTACAGCTTACAGACCATTGCTCATTAATGTGTATCAGAAATATTACCAACAACATTGTGTACTCTCTCAGGAAATTTAGTTTTTGTCTTTAATCTGGTATGTTTAAGTTAAATCAGATTAGTGTATTAATTGAATGTGTTAAATTTACAATTTATAGATAGTTGTTGAAAGTTTTCAATGAATGTACAGATCATGTATATATGTTATCACATCAGCAAGTGTGCCATTATGGCTAGATAATCGTAAGAATTAGTGCAATGTTTCAATCTGTTTCAGTCCATTCCATTTAAGTGCATTACACATCAGTAAGTTGGTCAAAAGCTCTTCATATATGTTATTTGTTTGGAACCATACAGACTTTAAATAAAATATACCTTAGCCTAATTATCGATCATCGGACCTACTTTACATAGGGTGTATATTTCAGGGAGATTTTCCCCCTTATTCTTGTGCCATGAAAACCCCACAACCCTTCAAATTTATTTCCATTCTGATAGTGTTAGTCAAGACCGTTGCCACTGACAATCTTGTGACCAAAACTTTGAAAATTTGACTCTGCAGAACTTTAGTGATAAAGTGATATACAGTTACATGAGGCCACATGCAGGCAACTTCTGACTGGATCGATTTGAGGGTTGACTAACAATGAAACCATATTCTTGTAAGTTGAAGGTTGTGCATGCTCAAATGATATGGATCCTCAGAATATTACCTTAAAACCTATGTTGCTAGACATTCATACATGAACTAATGGTGTAAGGGATAATATATTTGTTACTTACATTATCTGTACTGTTCAATATTTTTGTAGAGTATTTGTTAATGATATCATGTAATTAACATTTTAAATGTAATTTGTCAACTAAATATTGTACTGTTTGATGTCTAGTAGCAAACACACATTTTGAATACATCTGCTACCATTTGTAGAAATACAATTTTAACATTACATGCATAGTGTTTGATTTTTGTTTTATTTTGCTGTATGTAACACATGTCCTGTTTAAAGTCACTGCCCTAATATTTCTTCAAAAGTTTCTGCTTTTTTAGGTCACCTGAGTTGTTTTAGGGACCTATTGCTATCCGTCTTCGTCCGTCTTCCGTCAACCATCGTCCGCTAAGATTTTACATTTTCAATTTAAGCTAAAATACTGTCAAAGGGATTTCATGGATACTTTATGGGAATCTTACTGACATCTCCCTAACCAAGTGTTGTTATTTTTCTGGTCGATCAGAAATCCAATATGGCTGCCATGGCCGCCGTTTTGAAAAAAGTATTTCAAACTTAGTCAAGTTTGACTGGGCCAATTTAACTGAAACTTTGTAGGAATGACCGACTCATGTTCCTGACAAAGTATTGTTATTTTTTTGGTCGACCAGAAATCCAATATGGGCACCACGGTCGCTCTTTTGAAAATAACTATTTCAAACTTAAAATCAAGTTCTAATAGGCTGATTTAACTGAAACTCGGTCTAGGAATGATCAACATATGATCCTGACAAACTTAACATTATTCTTAACTTTTTTTTACTCAACTTGGTAGGGATGATAGACAACATTATCTTCACTTCATATTTCAACAACAAAAATAAATACTGTAGGACTCAGGTGACCGTTAGGGCCCATGGGCCTCTTGTTTATTAAAGATAACGACGCTGTCTGCCTGAATTGTTAAATTCTCTTTCCTGAATCTCTTCTTCTGCTTGTAGTTTCGCCTACACTTTGAATAATGGAATTAGATGGAAATCCTTGAAATTGGTGACATGTGTCATTGCATGATTAAATTTAAAACAAGCTCACTGATCATAAGTAACACATATTTTAAATACAAAACATCCTTTATTTTTTTTGCTGTTCATGTTGGCAACATTTTCATTACAATAAATAGCACAGATTTGAAACGTGACGTGCCAGTATACTGATCACACATTGCTGCATGGCTGAAAGCACATCAAATGAGGACATAATAGACAAACTGTGCATTGGTGAATATTTTGTTCTGTGTACAAAAAAGTTGAATGTAAACATTTCATCATTGGCTAACATTTGCAACACTGGTAAATAAAATATACCATGTAGGTTAAAATCAGTATATGGATTGTTTTTTATAGTGGATTTCAAAAGTTGAACATGAAAAAATGCATCACTTAGTTGGAGTCCAGACAGACATAATCAAGGCAGATCACCTATTTTCCCCTGAAAAGATATTTTTTCATGAAAAGACATCACATGTATTCCCCATGAAAAACATAAACATCTTGTTTTCCACATTGTGCTGACATAAAGTCCTATTCATTTAAACCACAATAAAAGTAATATTGTTTAAACAAAACCACAATTTTTAAGTCAACCTATTTAAAGAGACTCTAGATCTGTCTTTTTAAAATCAATAGAACTTGATCCCTACTATTCACTTTTTGCTCAAATTCAACTGCTCAGAATGCTTTAACCTATGCATTTTACACATATCAATACCGTATCTTACAGATGATAATCCCATCCCCATTTTTCCTTACTTTCTGTGCATAATAAGCCCATCCCCCTTTTTCAAGTTCGTCAGCATCGGTCAAAATTTTATTTTTTTGTATTGTTGTATGTTGTGCAATACATGTTAAGCTAAACTAGCAGGATGTGTTGGAACACTTTCCTACTTTTGACATGTTTTCATGTACAGGTCCCCTGGGCTTATCATCGGTACAATACGGTACTGTCAGTGGGTTGTAAGAAGGGGAGGTAATCTGTCCTGGATTAGTTATACCTGATTTAGTTCCTATTCAGTAATACCTTTGAATCATAATTGTCACTCATTTCAGCACTTCAAACACCTAGGAATGCAACATTGAAATATAGCTTGATTTCTGTACACAAGGTTGAAATCAAACTGTGCTATTAACTTTAAATATGTACAGGGGTTTGATATATTGTGAAAGTATAATAGGGTTCCTGTCTACAGCTTCCTCGATATCAATTACTCTTACCCTAGAGATTTACAAATACTTCTTTTGATTTGTAACTTTCTAGTTCATGTTTTTTTCCCCTTTTATTAAAATCACATGATTTATTCAAAGGAAACATGGGGCGTGGCTTTACAGCAAATCTAAGCTGTAAATCAAGACATCACTATATATATATATAAGCCTTATCACTGAAATAAATAGAGGTTACAGACCCCATCAACAAATATTAAATATTAATAATTATACAGGGCCCGATAAAGAGAACAATGTTACCGATATTTATATATATTATACCAGAGTGGGAGTCCTGTACATCTGTTTCATTAAACCTAGCATTTTCAGAATGTACATGATGAAGATGAAAATATATTTTTACTGTATTACAATAAAAATATTTCCCTTCAATTTTATTTTTTTATGTATTAATTATAATATTTTTCATATTTGATTCAGAATATCTGATCAATTTGCAGAAACAACACAATAAAGAGTCATACATAATTACAACATTTTTAACAATAATAAATTCAGTTAGCACTGATTGAACACAAATGTAATGTATATTTAATACTCCTTGGTAAAAATAATCAGACACATAATAATATGACTAACAATTAAATATCCCAAATAAAACCAACATTATTCATGCGGACGTTATTTAAAGTGTTTGGAAAAAAAGTTCAAAAATGTAGTGGAGGTAATTTTAATGAGATTCAGAGAAAAACTTTAAAAAGTTTAAGTTCTCATTGATTTAAAAAACAAAGTTCACTAATACTGTAAATATGTAAGAATACATGTATTCTTTAAGTTTTGGTATAGAAATTTTATGACTGTTAGAAATGTTCATTACAATCGTTACAATAAACTGCTTATGTAACTCTATGTAAAATAGGTACAATGTTTATCTAAATGTCACCAAAACACATCCAAACGATTACCAATATTTCTATTTACCATTAATGATTCTTAACACAAGTTTACTCACGGTAGAAATAGGTATCCATTTTTTTTTTTTATATAAAATTCAACATACCTGTTGTAAAAGTATGAAAATTATGATATACTGTATGTACTTTTTTTAATTGAGAACAAAATTAAGAAACAAACAGCCATGTTTATAAGCATAACCAAGATGTACATGTGTATATCACATAAAAGTTGTGTTTAAATTTTCCGTTATCTGACATTTAACAATATAACACACATATAACAAATTTCAAAACTCTTGATTGAATAACAAGTTGAAAGGTGTATTGTTTTTTTGAAGAATTGATAACAATCAAAACAAAATCACATTGAGAGAATTCTATATGAACCTAGTTATAAATCATGGTGTGAAAGCATTGGCAGACTAGAGGTAGTTACGACAAGGCTTTGGCATACATACAAATACATTGAATATATATATAGCAGATTATGCTGTAGTTTGTGTGAAAAATTTAGCACAAATACATGGTCCATAACATAACCTTACGAATTCATCATCCATGCTGAGGGAGCTGAATGTTTGTGTCTTATGAGGAGGTCCTTGCAAGGTATACCAGTACATGTACCAGTAAATCTGAAGCTGTGGGAGATGTGGAGATACAGGAATAAACGCTACATAATATAGGATCACACAAATATTAACAACAATAACAAACTCACTAAACATCTACAGACCACAACCAAATGTATAAATATTACACTTCATATAATAATAGTTCTATTTTACAAAATATTTACTTTCTGTTCAATGTAAATTTCATGGAGTAAATTTTCTATTGCAAAAATCAGATAGAAAATTTCCTGTCAAAGATTTGAAAAAGTGGTCTCTTAACAAAATCCTTTTATTTAAAAATAAAAGCTTTAAAAATTCAAAAGGTTTTAAAAAAGCCTTTTAAGAAAAATACATTGAACAGTAAAGTGTCTTTTTCACAACCATTCTCATACTCCTATTATGTGTGTGTTATGTTAAGCGCCTAATTGAGGAAAACATGATCATACGCTATTTACGGTGACCATGATGAAAGGTGGAGACGGCCACAAGTCCAGCATAAAACATCAAAATAAGAAAGCAATGATCGTGATAGTTCACTATGATTACAGATTGGAAACCACTGGTAAACTAGAGGATTCATGTGTAAAGAATCTTTTTCAATAATCCCAAAGTGATCAAATTAAAATGAACAGCCTTTGCAACCTTTCTAACTTTCAACATAGTAAAAATCAACAATTAATAATAGAAGACAAATATTGTGTACACAATCTCAAAATTAACTTAATTGTTTGATTAGTAATATCCAAGTGATGACAAATTTCAAATTGTTTGCAATAATTTGGGTTTTAGATACGCATGTAAATAATGAAACATTTAGAACAGATCATTACTGAATACACACCTTTGTATGTAAGTTTAACAATATGCTTGTAAATGAGCAAAATAACAATATTAAAACAAATCTAGCACATTTCATAAATTGAGACAGAAATACAATCTTCAATCCCTTTAAATTATGTTGAGTTCAGTATAAATAAAAAGTGGTGCTTTCTGATTTTTCAACATTTTTCAACAGAAGATGGTATTTTTAAATTAATACATAAACAAATGTTTGACAACAAGAAGAATGAGACGCAAATTCACACTGAGAGTAAACAATATCAGTTTATAACAGAAAGTAAATCTATATTCATTTCAATGTCTTTTCCGAGATTTTATAGGAACTTGACTTGAATGAAGAGTGATCTTAGAAAACCGTCTTTCTTAGCTCATAATTCAATGGTGCACATAAAAAAAACAAAATTCATATTTTAAACATATACATTAAAAGCTAATTATTTTTTAAGGAAATAAAAGTATCGGTGTAAAATTCCTAAATGTGAAATACAACATGCACAGAAAATAAACATCAGGAGTGATAACAATTGAAAAAAAGATTTTGTTTAATTCAGATAATTATTTCTTGTGTCAATAATTGAATGGTTACACACAACCCCTGGAATGTTTGAAGACTTGTAAAAAATTAAATACTGGAGACATTCGTTGTATAAAAACAAAATAAATGTACATGAACAAGAATAATTAAAACAGAAAAAAGCAATGTAAATGTATTGTAAGGAAGAAACCACAAAATCACCGGTGATTGTTACCAGATTAAAAATTACTGAATTTCACCAAAGGCAGTCATATTATTTTTAAAATGTTTTCTGAAAATATTTGAAAAGAAATTAACACTTTTTTAATTTGCTATCAGAGTTTTGAAGAAAAGTAATTTTTATTGAATAATAAGGAAAAAATGTAAGAAATGAAAACAAAATAAATCAGACATGGTATTATATGCAAAAGCAAAAGCAAGTGTTGTAAATATTGTATAATTTCATAATTATTGAAATTCCTAATAAAATCAGCATGCATGATAATTTCACTGAGGACAAGTATCATAATAAACATTCCTATACGATTCTAGTTTGTTACATAAAAACATATTTTGAAAATAGAGAAAACCATCTATTCAGTTATAAACAGTTATATGAACAACTAAACCAAGATAACAACAAAACAAAGGACAAGAAAACAACATGATGCACAACCAAATAGAGGCCTTCTCTGTAAAAAAGCCAGGAAATTGTGTAATAATACTAATAAACTAAATAATTACATTTGTTTTTGTGTACAAAAAATGTCTCCTCTCTTAAGTCAATTAGTGTAATGCACTTATATATGACCTTGAGGTGAAGATCAGTTACTTATATAGTGCTGTGCACAGATCTTGATGAATCGGGTATACTTTAAAATTTTGTACAAAATTATTTTCAACAGTTTATTAACTAAAAGTTTTGACTTTATTTTACTTTTGACCTAAAGGTGAAGGTCAAAGTGACCTAAATACAGTGAAGAGTCTTGCTTTCTGTGGATGACTTAGTAATAAAGTTCTTCAAGTTTCATGAAGTTATCTTAAGGGGTATAAAATGTACAGCCCAGAAAAGATTTGACCTTTTACCAAGAGGTGAAGGTCACAGTGACCTAATTACATTGCATTTCACACTTTTTGAGGATGATGCAGGTATACTTCGAATTTCATCAAGACACCATTTATCTTAACAGGTTAAAATGTATGGCCCGAATCTTATTATAAGAAAAACTAGCTCTTATACAATATATACCACTTTCTACAAAGGGGACACGACATACTAACCAAGCAAATGATATGATAGTATTCCTCTGACGACCACCTGTTGACAATAGTTTTTGACCTGTCACAAAAGTAGCACCATAAAAATATTAAGATTATTATATAATTTGGACAAAATATTTTTCAGTTTAAAATCAGAGCTAGCTGAAATTTGTTAAACCTCTAACTAGAATCAATGAGATGCCGGTGATATGGAATAGTGATTTTTGCCTCCAATCAGAATTTTATCTTGAACAAATTATATGTATAGCTAGAAAGGTTTGGACTCCATGTGGTTATCGTCAATTGGCAGGAAGAAGAAGACAGCAGCAGCAATAGAAAAGATGAATCCTCCCCAACCAAAGCCATAGGTCCAGTCAAAGTCCCAGCGCTTAATGTTGACAAACATCTGGACTGACTCACGAAACTTGATCGGAAAAATGATCAGAGACAGCAGGTCTGATAAAGCTGTAACAGGACGGATTGAGGGCCATGAGAGGAGATTATTAATTTATATTTAAAAAAATACATATTCAACTAGAACTGTAAGCCAAAGGCGATCTAATACCCCCTGCTTCTATATAAACCAGAACTGTAAGCTAAAAGCTAAGTAAGGTTAAGCATTGCAAAGCAATCCATAAGTCTCTCACCAGTAATGATTTCTTTATTCACTGAGCTGTACACTTATTTAAGTATATAGGTAACAGACATACTTCCTGTACTCCCTCCCAATGGCAAAACATTCTTGCAAACCAAATGTTGATAGCCCAGATGAACCAGTTTTGCTGAAATCGTCCTAGTAGTTAAGGTAGAATTGTCAGGACAAAGATTTTTAACAAAGGGCCATAACTTCTTCACCATATCTGTAAATTTTGAAATTGACCGAGTAGATAGGGAGAAGCGGTCAGGACAAGGATTTTTCAACAAAGGGCAATAAGTCCATAAAAAAGGGTTGGAAAAAAAATAACTGGATGCACAACATCAGGTCGTAGTTATCATATCTGGAAACTTTTGTTGGAATTGGCCCCATAGTTTTGGAGGGCCAGAATGAAAAAAGAATACCTGGATGCACAACTTAAGGTGGTAGTTATCATATTAGGAAAAGTTTCGTTGAAATCGATTCATAACTTTAGAAAGTGTTGTCTGGACAAACTTTTTTTTACCGACAGACAGCCAGACTGACAGACATGCTGATTCCAGTATACCCCCTCTAACTTCGTTGTGGGGGGTATAATAAATTATTACATAATTATCTACTCGGCAAAACATATTTTCATAATCTAAAATTAATGTTTTAACAAAAACCAAAACATTACTAGTAACTCCTAATTTCAAATACATACTGAAACTAATTGCATACAAATTGTGTTGAACTCTAAGGTAAAAAGTAAGGTTTTGTAAATATATATGAAGTTGGAATGACCATAAACTACATCTTTTTCAGACATTCTCATTAAATATTACAGTGCACACTGAACATGGTTCACCTTTAATCTAAACTTTCTGTTTTATAAAAATATTAAGTCAGCAGTTCATTTGATAAAGATTGCTGTAAAAACAAAGAACTCAAAAAGTAGTTTTAAAGAGTTTCAATCCAACTTGGGTGTTCAGTCTTTACATTGATTTTTTATTAACAGGGGAGATTACTTACCGACAAGAGTGACAATGCCACCAGCTATGATGTAGAGTAGTCTTCTCCTGGGGACATCCAGAGAACAGAGTCCGAGGATGCCACACCCAACTACCACCACACTGAACAGGAGGGAGATGATACTGAAGGTAGCACACACCTTTACCCAGTCTGTAACAGAAACCAGGAGGGAGATGATACTGAAGGTAGCCCACACCTTTACCCAGTCTGTAACAGAATACAGGAGGGAGATGATACTGAAGGGAGCACACACCTTTACCCAGTCTGTAACAGAAAACATGAGGGAGATGATACTGAAGGTAGCACACGCCTTTACCCAGTCTGTAACAGAAAACAGGAGGAAGATGATACTGAAGGTAGCACACACCTTTATCCAGTCTGTAACAGAACACAGGAGGGAGATGATACTGACGGTAGCACACACCTTTACCCAGTCTGTAACGGAATACAGGAGGGAGATGATACTGAAGGTAGAACACACCTTTACCCAGTCTGTAACAGAATACAGGAGGGAGATGATACTGAAGGTAGCCCACACCTTTACCCAGTCTGTAACAGAAATCAGGAGGGAGATGATAATGAAGGTAGCACACACCTTTACCCAGTCTGGAACAGAACACAGGAGGGAGATGATACTGAAGGTAGCACTCACCTTTTCCCAGTCTGTAACAGAACACAGGAGGGAGATGATACTGAAGGTAGCCCACACCTTTACCCAGTCTGTAACAGAAAACAGGAGTGAGATGATACTGAAGGTAGCACACACCTCTACCCAGTCTGTAACAGAAAACAGGAGTGAGATGATACTGAAGGTAGCACACACCTTGACCCAGTCTGTAACAGAAAACAGGAGGGCGTTGATACTGAAGGCAGCACACACCTTTACCCAGTCTGTAACATAAAACAGGAGGGAGATGATACTGAAGGAAGCATAAACTTTTACCCAGTCTGTAACAGAACACAGGAGATCATCACCTGGTTGTTCAGAGTAATTTTTAGGGAGATGATACTGAAGGTAGCACACCCCTTTACCCAGTCTGTAACAGAAAACAGGAGGAAGATGATACTGAAGGTAGCACACACCTCTACCCAGTCTGTAACAGAAAACAGGAGGGAGCTGATACTGAAGGTAGCACACACCTTTATCCAGTCTGTAACAGAACACAGGAGGGAGATGATACGGAAGGTAGCACACTCCTTTACCCAGTCTGTAACAGAAAACAGGAGTGAGATGATACTGAAGGTAGCACACACCCTTACCCAGTCTGTAACAGAACACAGGAGATCATCACCTGGTTGTTCAGAGTAATTTTTAGAATAACATGTGATCAGCGCCGAGTTGTTCAAAGTCAGATTAGGTCTGTAACAGAACACAGGAGGGAGATGATACGGAAGGTAGCACACACCTTTACCCAGTCGGGAACAGAAAACAGGAGGGAGATGATACTGAAGGTAGCCCACACCTTTACCCAGTCTGTAACAGAAATCAGGAGGGAGATGATAATGAAGGTAGCACACACCTTTACCCAGTCGGGAACAGAAAACAGGAGGGAGATGATACTGCAGGTAGCACACACCTTTACCCAGTCTGGAACAGAACACAGGAGGGAGATGATACTGACGGTAGCACACACCTTTACCCAGTCTGTAACAGAAACCAGGAGGGAGATGATACTGAAGGTAGCCCACACCTTTACCCAGTCTGTAACAGAAATCAGGAGGGAGATGATAATGAAGGTAGCACACACCTTTACCCAGTCGGGAACAGAAAACAGGAGGGAGATGATACTGAAGGTAGAACACACCTTTACCCAGTCTGTAACAGAACACAGGAGGGAGATGATACGGAAGGTAGCACACACCTTTACCCAGTCTGGAACAGAACACAGGAGGGAGATGATACTGAGGGTAGCACACACCTTTACCAGTCTGTAACAGAAAACAGGAGGGAGCTGATACTGAAGGAAGCACACACCTTTACCCAGTCTGTAACATAAAACAGGAGGGAGATGATACTGAAGGTAGCCCACACCTTTACCCAGTCTGTAACAGAAATCAGGAGGGAGATGATAATGAAGGTAGCACACACCTTTACCCAGTCTGTAACAGAACACAGGAGATCATCACCTGGTTGTTCAGAGTAATTTTTAGAATAACATGTGATCAGCGCCGAGTTGTTCAAAGTCAGATTAGCTTATTAAATTGTAAATACAATTTTTTGAAATGTTATTTAAAAACAAATTTGCTATAATGGTCTTTGAATTACCTTTTGGAATTCCAATACATGTACATATATTTTTTTGCTTTGAATTTAGATGTTTTTGAAAATACAGACTGTAGTTGGTAACTTACTGTTAGCTAATTAGGCTTTTAACAAAAATGACCCTGAATTACTTATTACCATAGTTTGTATTAAATATAGAGTTAGCTATGACAAACAACATGGGACCTAACATATTGTTACAGCTCTGACTGAATGACTTATTAAAGCTAGACCCACTTATGCCAAACAATAACGGATCAGTCACATTTTTGTTCACTATTTCCAAAATTTTGTGACATGTTTCATGATCAGAAGACTATTCTTAGCCAGGAGCCACTGCTAACGTCATTATTATAAGTATGAGCTCATCGTAATTACTATAAGTTATTATTGGATTATTTCATTATCATACCCTTGATCTTGCACTGAGACTCTGGTATCAGTTCAACAGACAATACAGGGTAGGATATATTTCACTTCTATATGGCCGATGATACTGATAATTTTCACTGTGTTTTGCTCACAAAGATAGTGATACTCTGCCACCTTTCTGAAATATATCCAGTATTGAACAGGAAACCATTTCATACCCTTTATATACTGTATACTTTCAAGACATCGAATCTTTAAAACCTTTAAAGATACTGCTTGGCAGTTAATCAATAAGTGATTAATTCACAAAAGGTAATATGTTTGATCCAAAAAGCAATGAGTATAGAAAGTCTGCTGTATTCTGGGAGAGTTTCGCTGCAGTTTAATTTCGGCCCACCAAATGAGGGCTAATTTGTCTGTACAGTGAACATAAGTGAATAACAAAATATTAATTAGTAATTTAATGTGATGCGAAATAACACTGGGCAAATATGGATTATTCTGGCAAAGGGCAAGATTTCGTTGTACACAGTATTACCTGATTTTAATGTAAAATATTTATAGACCGACTACATTTACATTACCAGCTTTTTAAATTTTATAATTTTCAGATACAAATGAACAGTCAACTGTTAATCAGTCAGGCTGTTAATCAATACATCGATGTATTCAAACCTGTTGTGTTTGTAGAACAGGAGTCGCCCTCACAGATATCCCACAATCCCCAGGTGATGCTTTGACGGTTGTCATGGTGAAATTTCACCTCCACCCACTCTTTACCGGCAATGCTACTGATCAATAGGATAACAGTTATCCCACTGAAGATCACTGCTATCAGCTGAAAAAGTGGGATGAGAAAAGTAAATAAATCATTTAATATTATCTGGTACTGTCAACTACTTTGAGTCAATTATATCTTCAAGTTAAAAGAGCCAGCCTACTGAATCAAATCACCTTGGAAAGTGTTATTTGAAATACACAATTTTCACAATATTCAACTGACAATTGCTCTAGATCTGTGGTATGATATTTTATAATCTCTGTAGGAGTGAAATTTTTGTCAGGTGTTAATTATATTTAAACCCCTTTACTTACAATACACGTCAGTAAAGTTTCATAATGACAAACTGTATGTATCTTATCTCTCTTTTAATTAACTGCTGATACACATTCCTAGTGTTTTGTAATTTTCAAAAATATAATTGAGCTTAAAAAAAAGATCAGATACAATTTACCAGGTTGTTTATATCATTGTATAGTTAAGACTGGGCTGGGTGATACCTATAGCTCATTGGTCAGTTTCTATCTCAAGTTTGGAGGTTCCAAGTTTATATCCTAGTCTGGCCTGTTTGAATTTTTCTTTTGCCTGTTACAGTACCGGTGTCTGTTATTAAGCATTTTTTCAAACATTGTTTGCATTTAGCAGCCCAGCTGGGGATACACGACGTTGCTTGTTAAACAAAGCAAACACCTAGAAAAGGCAGCTTGGAGGTGAACGTGAATCTCAAATTAACAGATTGTTCTCCTAAAGCTGAAATATGGCAGAAGTACATCAAAAGACAACAAAAGAAATCATTTAATACATTGTTGTCTTGGTCCAAGGAAACATCAACCGGAACATGGTAAATTCCTTCATCAATAAAGCTAGGAAAAAATGTCCCAAGAGGTCCCAGAGGTCAATTCTAAGAATATGGATTACATAGGGTAATATGTCTTTTTTTGCATAGCAAATATATGTGTATGAATTTTAAAGAATTATTTTATTTCCCCGATTAAGTCCTGTCCCTCTGTCATCAAAAGTGTTGCAATTACCTATCTGTTTATATCACTGTGTCCTAGGCCAAGGAATGCCATATAACAAATTTGGGTAAAATGGTTATATGTACATGTACCAAAGAAGAAACAATTCAAAGATATACTTCCACTTCTCTGCTGGGGCCTTTCTGTCTATCACCAAGGACTTCATTAATCATGTTTTATAATGTAGAATTCCCCTGGGACAAGGATGCTCTATATATACTAAACCTAACTGGTACTGAAGGAAAAGTACTTCAAACATTTTCTCTTTTACACACTGTCCCCTGTCCCTACACTCTCCGTTTAGAGTCATTTGGCCAAGCATGTGCTGATGCAGATCAAATTTGGTTAAAATCTGATCAACGGAATTTAAACTGCACGATGATATACGCTCACATAGCCATATGTCATTTGTGTTTACAAATTCCCAGTGATGATTGCAGTTTCAGATAAGCCAGAGTTTCCTCTAGTACTTTTGACATTTTGACAGACAGATGTCTGGTGTAATGTAAGACCTCCATCTGTCAAAAGGCAAAATAGCAAGATTCTTATGTTGCCACTGTGTAACAGTCTGTTGGATCAAGGGGGAACCTTTCATGCAATTGCATACATGTATTACACAATGTCATATGATGTACATAACCAGTACATTTCCATTATAACAAATTTTATTATATATATATTAACATATATATAAATGGATAAGATAACAGGCTTAAGGCCTGAAATATATCAATCTTCTCCATGATGGTGTAAATATGACATTACATATATATATGTAATTATTAAGCTATTTATATTATTATATTACACTCATACGCTCAATCATACATTCATACAATTGCCAACTTACTCTAAATTGACTAGCAACTGTGAGTATCAACAATTATGTTGGAATTAAGTTAAATACAGATAATAAGTCATTTAATTATATATACATGCAGAAAAGCATATATAATAGTTTGATAATATATAAACATTTAATTACATTATCCTAACCGTTTAGATGCATTAATATACTTTTCAACATTAGACAATATAAATATATTTATTTCAGTAGGTAAATCAGTTAACCAGTAGGGAGTAAGGTCAGTTGATGATATTATTTCACTGCAGCTGGTCCATACAAACCTTAATTGGTCTTATCTTCACAACTGTATTGTCAACCATTGTATAAGGAACTCTGTGCAATATCAACAAAAGCGGGCATTTGTCCTTATTCGTAAAAACTTTGAAGTTATTACTTTGGTTAATTATTTCGTCTACAGAAATACTACCGGAAGTGTTTCAAAGGGGAATAAGCATTCCACTTCCGGTAAAATTGCCATGTGGAGAAAGCGATAGGACTGGCGTGTGATAAAAGTAGCAATACCGTTAATTAACAGGCAAATCGGAAGAGGAGACCGTCATGTCAAGAATAATTATCAAAAACCTTCCTAATAAGGTGAGGAAATTACCCATAAGAACTGCCAGATTCGCAAGAATTTTGGAAACTTGCTCTCTGACGGGTTAGAGAAAATACAAAAATACCACAACACCGAGTGATGGGTCCAGGTGTTTTTGTATTTATTTGCCTATCAAACCCAGACAGATGTGTACGAATCGATACATAGAGAAGGGATAGCAGTTGAGATACTCTTGACCAATCTCAGACAAGAAGATATTGCACAAAAAACTTGTCGAAAAACTATCTAATTATCAGTTTGGCCACAACGGCGCATATGGGTATTTTTTTTTGATGGGACGGATCATCAAAAGTGTTTTAAAAGAAGATCGGCTGCAAGGGCGGATCCAGTATTTTTTGCAGGGGGGTGTCACCATTCCTTTCTTCTTTTGTTTGTTTTCGATTTAGTCAAATGCCTGCCTGGAATGTATAATCAAGTATTATTATAATTTTTAGTAAATAGCTAATATCACTGTTTTTCAGCAGAGCCAATTAAGATCAAAATGAGATCCGTCTCATTTAATTTGGAAACCCCCCTAAATTATGACATGCTAGGCAACGCCATAGAGAAGGTTTCCTAATTTCATTTGCCAGTCGTTTCAAATTGTTCTGGGATTCATTGCATCATTTTACTCATACAGGATTGGTTACTGCTGCAGTTTCTACAAAATTGAAAGCTTGATTTTAGAAACACACTTTCAATACATACTTGTCAATGTATGTGTGCGCTTTTTGAAAACATTTTAAATTGTTCGTCCCGCAATAAGAAATCTTTTTTTTTTTAAAGGCGGGGGTAGTGTAGTCCTTGACCCATATTTCCTGGTCCCTTATAAAATGCTGAGATGACAGCAAAGATTGTCCATTTGATTATTGGCATGTGTGCAATAAAATAAACTTATGATGATGAATTATCACTGCCAATGAGATTTGATCAGTTTCAACTCAGATTTATATAGAATATAATTCCTCAGTTCCAAAGTGGGAAAAGAAATTGCCCAAATACATCCCCCTCTTTTGTGGCCCCTTAGTTGGCATCTATAATCTTTATTTTATACAAACAATGTGACCTTTTCAGTCATTTTTAATTGAGGTTGAGTTATATCATGTCACACAGGTGTTGCACTTCTGTCACCAGAACTTCTCTTGGTCAAATATCACTGCCCCATACAAATGTCAAATTAGACAAATGGAATGGACTGTGAGTTATAATGAGGAAAAATTAACGGCAAATGCAAAAAACATGTGTGCATTCAATTAATGAGATTTGTTTAAATGATATGTTGCTATAAATGCCCAACTGAGGTTTGATTTGTTATATATATGTGAATTGTATATCAAATGTACATGTACCCCTCTTAAACATTGTGTCTCCATATCTTCTTGTTTCAGATGAAGGAGGAAAGGCTTAAATCTGAATTTGGAAAGAATGGCACGATTACAGACTGTAGTATGAAGTTCACAAAAGACGGACGATTCAGAAAGTTTGCATTCATTGGATACAGAACTGAAGAAGAAGCTCAATATGCTATCAACCACTTTAATGAAACTTTTATTGATGCATCCAAAATTACGGTAAACTTTCTTCAGTTTCTTTATTATGACAGGATACTGTTGCTTCAGTCTTAACTTTTTATATCAACTTCAGAGTTGTCTTGCAAAAGGTTTGTACAGGCACAGACTTAAAGAATATGCATGTTGGTCTTGATATGACAAACATGTATCATATTACAGCCCTTTTTTGTCAATCTATTAACTGGGTATTTTGTGAAATCATTTCCCTAAATATCATCAGACTTAAACTTAAAAAATTCTCAAGAGTCTACAATCTACAAAATGTGAGACCAATTTCAATGTTGAGCAAAATCCATCCAATACTGTTTAATACAATCTGCAACCTCCTGCAGTATCATCAAATTTACATTTGTGTCTGGACAACTTATATCAATCACATTTATATCTGATTGTCTTAAAGCCTGGTAGAGTTTATCCCTATCAAATACCTTATTTTGTTTTGATAAAAAAATGCTAGGACAGCTGTCATTCTGTGTTTCTATGTAGCACTTTTATGATGATTGAAGTTGGTTTGTATCACATGTAATTCCGTCTTTGCGTATTGCAGAGTTATCTTCTCTAGGGAGCAGGTATTGATTGTTACGTCATTGGTTTGTGCGCAAAAATTATGTCATTTTCTCAAAAATTGATGACGTTACTCTCACAAACAAGTGACGTAACAATCAATCCCTGCTCCCAAGAGAAGATAACTCTGCAATACGCAAAGACGGAATACAATGCATTGCTCATTTGTAATCGGAAAGAAAAAGAAAATCTGTACTTAACTAGACTATCATAATGTGATTGGAATTCCATATTTTGCTTTAATAATAACATTAACTCATTCACCCCTGAAATTTCATAATGGATCATTCCAACCTTTGAATGGGAAGAGTTCAAATGTGTCCTAAGGGGTGAATGAGTTAATACTGTTAACTTTTTTGTTTCTCAGTAATTCTATTGTCTATATGTAAAACATTTAACAAATATATTTTTTAGAACATGAAGATTTCATTTAAATTCCCTGCAGGTGGAGGTTGCAGCAGATTTGGGTGATGCCAGAAAGCCACGGTCCTGGAGTAAGTATGCCGCTGATAGCTCTGCCTTCCAGAAAAAGATGAAAGCTCTAAAGGAATTAGAGGCTGAGGTAGCTAAGCAGAACAATAAGCTTACACCAAAGGTAAGGATACAAGTGAGAATTTAAGTCCACATCCCAAAATTAATAAGTATGAGGTCATAAATCATTATAAAGACCCTGCACACTTTCAAATAATGATGCACAGTTTTGGAGAAAATGCTGTATTTAAAATTTATAGCAAAGTATCTGAGGTTTTAAATTTTTGTTATAGTGTTCAGTAAATGAATATAGTAATTTTTAAATTAAGAGACTTCAAATTTGAACTAAATTATGATCCAGGTATTTAATTTGAATACAATCATTTACGGTATGTATTGATCAAAGGTTTCTTTGTAATTTGTTTTAGCAAAAAAAAGAGAAGAAGAAGACTGCTAAAGAAAAAGCCTTGGAGGAGATGCTGGGTGATGTATGTATAATGACCGAATTGTGATTTAAATTGTGGTTGTTTGATTTTTGATAATGTGAATCGTATATTGTTATTATTTAAAGTTCCGTTGCCAAGTGTTATGATCAATGTTCATTAGAACATGTTAGACGTTAGACTTGATTTAATTACAAATTTCTTCCTATAGAAGGAATTTTTACAGCAAATGTAAGAAATGTTGTTAATAATTTAAAGGGAAATATTGTATTTTTATATGCCATCAATGATGGGTCATATACTATTCATCCATCTGTCCATTAACTTTTTCTATTTATTTTTTATATATATATATACATATATATAGGATCTTACATGAGTTTCCATTTCATATGAGATTTATGAAACAAGTCTTAAGAATTTTTCAATTTAGCGAGCCTCTGGCGCGCTAAAATGAACAATTTGTGACGAGTTTCATAAATTTCATATGAAATGAAAACGATTGAAAGATCCTTTTTATCACATAATCAAGATTTGTGGCATTTATTTGTGTAAAACAACAATTTTCATGCAACCTTGAAATGTAAAAAGCCGCCGTTTTGACTCCAGTGCGTAAGTCTGTGACGTCATATACTTCTCCTAGGTGTGACGTCACAATTGAAACAATTGGAACTTACAACCAATCACAGGGCTGATAGGTTATATTACATTGGTTAATACGCAAAAAATTATGACATTGGTATATTCACTGGATAACACAGTACATTATGGGATAAATATTTATATATATTTACTTTTTCTAGTCATCACTTATCTTCCTTATTAAATAGACATATTTTACAAAACTTGACACAAACATTCCTTACAAGAATAGCTGGAACCAGCTCGCATTTTAAAATTTGTTACATTTAGTTTTTGGCAGAGTTAAACCACGTTGTTGAACATTTATGTCAAACTTTTACTGGAGAATAACCTTCTTGTTATTTCACTTTATTCACCAAACTTACTATACTTTAATGTCTTTGGAAGGCTGAGTTGCATGTACTAAAATCAGGTCCCCTGCCAAACTCGATACAAAATTATTGCCCTTTGTTCAGGTTTTTTATACCTAAGATTATCTGGAGCATAACTTGCATGTTATTCTTCCTACATTCACCAAACTTCCTTTACTTATAAAAGTAGAGAAATTGGAATGTCATATTCTGAATTGGTGTCCTCTGCCCACTGAACACAAAGCTACGGCCCTTTAGTCCATCTTTGATACCAAAGCTTGAGATAAATTTAGCCAAGGAGTCATAAAGATGGCCATAAGGGTAGGTAATTCCAGTGTGTTATTGATATTTTTACCTGTGTTTACTTACAGTTGAAGGATGAACCTGGCTTTGAGGAGTTTATTCCAGTGTATAATTGATATTTTTTACCTGTGTTTACTTACAGTTGAAGGATGACCCTGGCTTTGAGGAGTTTTTTCCAGTGTGTAATTTATATTTTTACCTGTGTTTACCTACAGTTGAAGGATGACCCTGGCTTTGAGGAGTTTATTCCAGTGTATAATTGATATTTTTTACCTGTGTTTACTTACAGTTGAAGCTTAAGGATGACCCCAGCTTTGAGGAGTTTATTCCAGTGTGTAATTTATATTTTTACCTGTGTTTACCTACAGTTGAAGGATGACCCCAGCTTTGAGGAGTTTATTCCAGTGTGTAATTGATAGTTTTACCTGTGTTTACCTACAGTTGAAGGATGACCCTGGCTTTGAGGAGTTTATGGCTGCTCACAAGAGAACAGGTAAAAAGTCGGTCTGGGATAACGATGCAGATGTTGTGATGCCACAAGTTCCGAAAGACCAATCCTCTGATGAGGAAGAGGAGGAAGATGATCACATGGAAGAGGAAGACGAGGAAGATGAGGCTGATGAAAAAGATGTTGATGTCAAAGATGAGAAAAGTAAAAGTAAGTAATTTATAAAGAAGTAAACAAAACAAAGATGGATTTTTGTATGTTTGCTTTGTAGTTACAGTGTATTACTGTATTTTCATCATCATTTACAAAGACACTGTTTCAAATGAAAACTTCAGGTAATCATCCACCTTACATTTAAATAAATAACAAGACTGTCTTACTGATCAAATTAAAAAATTGGTATTTCGAGAAGTGAAGGAGATCTTTTTTAATCAAAGCATTGGTTATCAAACATTTTTTTTATTTATTATATTTATACATGAATTCGTGGATTACGAGTTCACACTTAAACAAAGAATTGCTTGGACCTATGAATTTGTGGATGAAGATTACCCACAAAATCAAAACCCCATGAAAACTAGTCATTTCACAGTATATTGGATATATTGGATACCGTTGTCATAGATACCAAAGCGTTAACAAGTTAAACGCTAAGTAAATACACAATTAAGAACTTTAAAAAAGTTAAAAATACGTTATTTCAAATAATAAGATAAGTTCCTTTGCATGAAATGGACATTTTTATTTTCCATTAAAAAAATCTAACATTGGTTGTTACATGAGCAAACTATTACAATATTTATTTCTGTTGACAAGTAATGACTCGGTTACGTGTATACATTCTTAACAATGTTAACATTATGAACATCTTCTTCATTTTTTGTATTCAAAGAGCATTCTTGTTATCTTCATTCAAGTTATATTCTTTTCTATGAATTACAGAAGTGAAAATCATAAAAGAAAAAGAAAAGACCGCAACAAAAGCAGATGTTTCAGATGCAGAGGTAAAATATGCAGAAAAAATAGAGAAAATATGATATTCTTAGAAAATTATTATCAATATTACAATGTACCAGCAAGGTGGAAGACTCATGCTTTGATGTGTAAACATCGGGTACCTTGCTACCTGTCGTTATAGTGATGGTAATATTATGCTATGACGTGTTAGCATAGTGTACTTTGCTACCTGTCGTTATAGTGATGGGAATATTATGCTTTGACGTGTAAACATCGGGGACCTTGCTACCTGTCATTATAGTGATGGTAATATTATGTTATGACGTGTTAACATCGGGTACCTTGCTTCCTGTTGTTATAGTGCTGGTAATATTATGCTATGACGTGTAAACATAGAGTACCTTGCTACCTGTCGTTATGGTGATGGTAATATTATGCTATGACGTGTTAGCATCGTGTACTTTGCTACCTGTCGTTATAGTGATGGGAATATTATGCTTTGACGTGTAAACATCGGGGACCTTGCTACCTGTCATTATAGTGATGGTAATATTATGCTATGACGTGTAAACATAGAGTACCTTGCTACCTGTCGTTATGGTGATGGTAATATTATGCTATGACGTGTTAGCATAGTGTACTTTGCTACCTGTCGTTATAGTGATGGTAATATTATGTTATGACGTGTTAACATCGGGTACCTTGCTTCCTGTTGTTATAGTGCTGGTAATATTATGCTATGACGTGTAAACATAGAGTACCTTGCTACCTGTCGTTATGGTGATGGTAATATTATGCTATGACGTGTTAGCATAGTGTACTTTGCTACCTGTCGTTATAGTGATGGGAATATTATGCTATGACGTGTAAACATCGTGTACCTGGTAATATTATGCTTTGACGTGTAAACATCGGGGACCTTGCTACCTGTCGTTATAGTGATGGTAATATTATGCTATGACGTGTAAACATAGAGTACCTTGCTACCTGTCGTTATGGTGATGGTAATATTATGCTATGACGTGTTAGCATCGTGTACTTTGCTCCCTGTCGTTATAGTGATGGTAATATTATGCTTTGACATGTAAACATCGGGTACCTTGCTACCTGTCGTTATAGTGAGGGTAATATTATGCTTTGACGTGTAAACATCGGGGACCTTGCTACCTGTCATTATAGTGATGGTAATATTATGCTATGACGTGTTAACATCGGGTACCTTGCTTCCTGTTGTTATAGTGCTGGTAATATTATGCTATGACGTGTAAACATAGAGTACCTTGCTACCTGTCGTTATGGTGATGGTAATATTATGCTATGACGTGTTAGCATCGTGTACTTTGCTACCTGTCGTTATAGTGATGGTAATATTATGTTATGACGTGTTAACATCGGGTACCTTGCTTCCTGTTGTTATAGTGCTGGTAATATTATGCTATGACGTGTAAACATAGAGTACCTTGCTACCTGTCGTTATGGTGATGGTAATATTATGCTATGACGTGTTAGCATCGTGTACTTTGCTACCTGTCGTTATAGTGATGGTAATATTATGTTATGACGTGTTAACATCGGGTACCTTGCTACCTGTCGTTATAGTGAGGGTAATATTATGCTTTGACGTGTAAACATCGGGTACCTTGCTACCTGTCATTATAGTGATGGTAATATTATGTTATGACGTGTTAACATCGGGTACCTTGCTAAAGCCCTCCTCGAGATAACACGTGCACGAGGACATGCGGCTATCACTTCCGCTCAATAGCTTTTCCGTTAACCCTTCTATGTTCCGCCACACACCTTCATGTGGGCTAGAGGAGCCTACCGCTCATAGAAACAACCACGGCATGCCCAGAACATAAAGGGCGGGGGAATGTTCAGTCACTACCTTAGTGCTATCCTTAACATCTCTCCTTCAAACGATATGACGACCGGCATGTCTCCCGCAAAAATACATCTAAGTTCACCTCGCTATTTCCCTATTAAACTAAGGCCATAGTACAAAAATACTACCAAAAACCTAACAATGGATGTTCAGTAAACGTTTACAACCCCGAATTCTGGAAGGATGGGCGACATAGAGTAATTAAATCATTGGATTTAGACAGCTGAAAAAGTGCTGCTTACCTGGCTGCTCTATCCCAGAAGCCCCTTTGATTATTTCCGGTAGCGGCCGATATAATTTTAAGGATTCCCGCTGGTCGGTGAATTAGACGGAACGCAATGCCCCAAAACCTTGGTGCGTTACAACGTGTAAACATAGAGTACCTTGCTACCTGTCGTTATGGTGATGGTAATATTATGCTATGACGTGTTAACATCGGGTACCTTGCTACCTGTCGTTATAGTGATGGAAATATTATGCTATGATGTGTAAACATCAGGTACCGTGGTACCTGTCGTTATAGTGATGGTAAGATTATGCTATGACGTGTAAACATCATGTACTTTGCTACCTGTTGTTATAGTGATGGTAATATTATGTTATGACGTGTAAACATCGTTTACCTTGCTACCTGTCGTTATAGGGATGGGAATATTATGCTATGACGTGTTAACATCGGGTTCCTTGCTACCTGTCGTTATAGTGACGGTAATATTATGCTATGACGTGTTAGTACCTTGCTACCTGTCGTTATGGTGATGGGAATATTATGCTATGACGTGTTAACATCGTGTACCTTGCTGCCGGTCGTTATAGTGATGGTAATATTATCCTATGATGTGTAAACATCGTGTACCTGGCTACCTGTCGTTATAGTGATGGGAATATTATCCTATGATGTGTACACATAGAGGACCTTGCTACCTGTCGTTATGGTGATGGGAATATTATGCTATGACGTGTTAACATCGGGTCCCTTGCTTCCTGTTGTTATAGTTATGGTAATATTATGCTATGACGTGTTAACATCGTGTACCTTGCTGCCGGTCGTTATAGTGATGGTAATATTATTCTACGATGTGTAAACATCAGGTACCTTGCTACCTGGCGTTATAGTGATGGTAATATTATTCTACGATGTGTAAACATCAGGAACCTTGCTACCTGTGGTTATAGTGATGGTAATATTATGTCATGACCTGTAAACATCAGGTACCTTGCTACCTGGCGTTATAGTGATGGTAATATTATTCTACGATGTGTAAACATCAGGAACCTTGCTACCTGTGGTTATAGTGATGGTAATATTATGTCATGACCTGTAAACATCAGGTACCTTGCTACCTGGCGTTATAGTGATGGTAATATTATGTCATGACCTGTAAACATCAGGTACCTTGCTACCTGGCGTTATAGTGATGGTAATATTATCCTATGATGTGTAAACATCGTGTACCTGGCTACCTGTCGTTATAGTGATGGTAAGATTATGCTATGACGTGTAAACATCGTTTACCTTGCTACCTGTCGTTATAGGGATGGGAATATTATGCTATGATGTGTAAACATCAGGTACTTTGCTACCTGTCGTTATAGGGATGGGAATATTATGCTATGATGTGTAAACATCAGGTACTTTGCTACCTGTCGTTATAGTGACGGTAATATTATGCTATGATGTGTAAACATCAGGAACCTTGCTACCTGTGGTTATAGTGATGGTAATATTATGTCATGACCTGTAAACATCAGGTACCTTGCTACCTGGCGTTATAGTGATGGTAATATTATTCTACGATGTGTAAACATCAGGAACCTTGCTACCTGTGGTTATAGTGATGGTAATATTATGTTATGACGTGTTAACATCGGGTACCTTGCTTCCTGTCGTTATAGTGATGGTAATATTATGTTATGACGTGTAAACATCGTTTACTTTGCTACCTGTCGTTATAGTGACGGTAATATTATGCTATGATGTGTTAACATCGGGTACCTTGCTTCCTGTCGTTATAGTGATGGTAATATTGTGCTATGATGTGTTAACATCGGGTTCCTTGCTACCTGTCGTTATAGTGATGGTAATATTATGCTATGACCTGTAAACATGCAAAATGGTCCATACTGGGGCCACCTAATAATTTTAAAAATGGCAAGGTCACAAGTAAACATGACCAACCTATAGTCTGCTAGCCTACAGTTTATATGATAATACTTCACTCTAGAGCTAACATATCTCACTGAATCATTGATTACCCTAGTAGTTACTTATTTTTGTGCATTTTTTACAAATCTAGGTCACTGTGCTATGGCTTGGTGATGTCACTAATAATCAAAGTGATCCCGAGCTACATTGACCTTTTGGGGTCGTGCTGTTGTGATGTTATTAGCGTTTAGTTTCATGTCCGGGTCAGATAAGGGGGTCAGGGTCATTGAAGTCATTAAGTATCGCCATCCAAGCTTCATATGCAAATGAGAAAATTTCAGATGGTATCACGGTTATACTGTCACAAATCGTTTGTTTTGACCAATCAAATGCTGTATTACAACTAGAATTATCATGTTTGAAAAGTTTATTAATGCATTTGCATTCTTAACCTTCGTGCAGTATCTAAAATCCAAGATGGCAAATAGAGACTTGCTGAGTGATTCAAGCTCTAATGAAGATGAGGAAGACAGTGATGATGAGGAGGACAGTGATGAAGAGGAGGACAAAAGTGAGGAGGAGGAGGAGGAGGAGGACAATGATGATTCTAAAGACAACAGGAAGAAAGTGAATTCAAAGGCAGCCAAGTCAAAGAAAAAGGAAAATTTATCAAAACCAACATCACCAAAGAAAAAAGTATGTCATTTGGAAACAAGAATTTCCGCAACAGATTTGTATATTTTTGTGTGTTTTAATTAAGATTTTAGAAAAAAAAAGTATTAGAGTGAATTAATTACTAATAAAACATTTTGAAAATTATTTCATTTTGATGTAAGGGCAGAAATTTTATGACATGTATTTTGACAAAGAACATTTGAAGTGTGTTATTATGTCTCGATTGTCTCCCCTTCGAATGAAGGGAGACGTATTGGAGTATCAACAAATTTTATTGGACAAAAACAATTGAACATTTGGATGAGAGAACAGGCTTAGCCTATATAAGTCTTCTCCTAAAGAGAGACATATTGTATTAGTACTGGTTCTTGTTCTTGTTCTGGTTCTTCTAATTTGATCTTGTCCGGGCCATAACTTTTAAACCGTTAAAGATATCTTGATGAAACTTGAATATACCTGCATCATCCATAGACAATGTGAACTGTCATAGGTCATTGCGACCTTGACCTGAAGGTCAAAGGTCAAATATGTGCAAAATTTTCAGGAACATCTTGTCCAGGCTTAGGGTTAAACTGTTAAAGATATCTTGATAAAACTTAAAGTATAATTGCATCACCCATAGATGATATGTAATGCACTGTCGTTAGGTCATTGTGACTGTTAAAGGGGAGACATATGTTTTTGTTCACATAAACAAATCTCTAGTTATCATTGTACCATTTGAATCTGCTACATGTTATCCAATTATTGTGAATTTTCTATTGTTGACAGACGAATGACCCAGGACTGGTAGTGAAAATGAAAGGTCTTCAAGTTTCCTGCGGCGAGGTTTGTACATATATATACATTCAGTGTGTAAACTGTCTTTGTCTCGGACAATTTTCTTGATAACTCTTGTGACGTAACACGTGGTTTACTTATGACGTCATAGATGTACCTTGTTCAATGAGAGTCTTGTCACTTCGCTTCGAATTACATGGGAGAATGCCTCTGCGTCCAATGCTCAAATGACTACGGTTAATTATTGGCGCCAATTTGATTTAAATAGGGCTGTTCTGCCAATGTCGTTTGAAGGATGAACAAAACGCAGTAAATAAATTGATTATTAAAGAACAAATAAATAAAAATCATACAATTGTTCTATAGTAAAAATGTAAATATATGGATTGGACGGCGTTTTTTAAATTTTAATGCCGGTAAGAATGCAAATCGGTTACATTCATATTAAACATGAATCCTAGCAGGCTTCAGCAATATGGATGTAACTGATTGGCATTCATACCAGAATGAAAATTTTAAAAAATGCCATTCGATCTCTATATAACAGGGTTTGGTACAGGTAAACATAAATAAGGTTATTGTTTTGGTACTTTAATTGTATCATCAATTGTAATTATATACTGTAGCAATATGTTAAAAACAAACTTCCCTCCAGGCTGTGGTTGCTGTTGGGAACATTTTTGCAGATATTACTGTTGATGTCTTTACATTTACTAGTTTTCACTATTCTTTTATATTATTGGTTGACAACGAAGTTCTTACCTATATTTTGTGTGTCTGATCAGTTTCTGTTTTGTTTTCCTCAGAAAGCAGTAAAGGAGTTTTTCAAGCCTCTACAGTTAACATCTATCAGGATACCAAGGAATGCTAAGAAGAAACCTCTGTATGGTATGCAGTATTTTTGGATGATAAAACCAATTTTTGTTACAGTTGTTTCTTCAGATGGCAGAATTGTATGAAAGCATTTTTACGATGCATTCTCTTACCGTTTATAAATTTTGTGCGTGACAAAAAATATACCAAACCAAAAAAACAATGTCTGTTGATGTTGTGCACAATCGTGTATGTTTGCCTGGTTGTTCAATTGGAACTTGATCAATAATACAGAAAGAAAAAACCCAGAAGACTCACATGAAATAAAGTACATTGTAGACATTTAATATCTCATCAGTATATTTTGCATTATGCTCAATTTTGTGATGCATGTTACACAGTATTACAGTGACTGTAAAACTGAAGAATGGTGACAGATCACTACCCTATAGGGCTTACAAGAGGAGGAATTTCCTTCATCTATCACACACAGTTGTCATTTAAAATTGTTCAAATATCATTGTTAAATTCAGAGAACGTATAAATGTCTGAAGTCCTCCACCAGAGAACGTATAAATGTCTGAAGTCCTCCACCGGAGAAAGTCTAAATGTCTGAAGTCCTCCACCAGAGAATGTATAAATGTCTGAAGTCCTCCACCAGAGAAAGTTTAAATGTCTGAAGTCCTCCACCAGAGAAAGTTTAAATGTCTGAAGTCCTCCACCAGAGAACGGATAAATGTCTGAAGTCCTCCACCGGAGAAAGTCTAAATGTCTGAAGTCCTCCACCAGAGAAAGTTTAAATGTCTGAAGTCCTCCACCAGAGAATGTATAAATGACTGAAGTCCTCCACCAGAGAACGTATACATGTCTGAAGTCCTCCACCAGAGAACGGATAAATGTCTGAAGTCCTCCACCGGAGAAAGTCTAAATGTCTGAAGTCCTCCACCAGAGAACGGATAAATGTCTGAAGTCCTCCACCGGAGAAAGTCTAAATGTCTGAAGTCCTCCACCAGAGAACTTATAAATGTCTGAAGTCCTCCACCGGAGAACATATAAATGTCTGAAGACCTCGACCAGTGAACGTATAAATGTCTGAAGTCCTCCAACAGAGAACGTATAAATGTCTGAAGTCCTCCAACAGAGAACGTATAAATGTCTGAAGTCCTCAACCGGAGAACGTATAAATGTCTGAAGTCCTCCGCCAGAGAATGTATAAATGTCTGAAGTCCTCCACCAGAGAATGTATAAATGTCTGAAGTCCTCCACCGGAGAACATATAAATGTCTGAAGACCTCGACCAGTGAACGTATAAATGTCTGAAGTCCTCCACCGGAGAAAGTCTAAATGTCTGAAGTCCTCCACCAGAGAACGGATAAATGTCTGAAGTCCTCCACCGGAGAAAGTCTAAATGTCTGAAGTCCTCCACCAGAGAACGGATAAATGTCTGAAGTCCTCCACCGGAGAACATATAAATGTCTGAAGACCTCGACCAGTGAACGTATAAATGTCTGAAGTCCTCCACCTGAGAACGTATAAATGTCTGAAGTCCTCTACCAGAGAACGCATAACTGTCTGAAGTCCTCCACCAGAGAACGTTTAAATGTCTGAAGTCCTCCACCAGAGAAAGTATAAATGTCTGAAGTCCTCCACCGGAGAACATATAAATGTCTGAAGACCTCGACCAGTGAACGTATAAATGTCTGAAGTCCTCCACGAGAGAACGTATAAATGTCTGAAGTCCTACACCGGAGAACGTATAAATGTCTGAAGTCCTACACCGGAGAACGTATAAATGTCTGAAGGCCTCCACCAGAGAACGTATAAATGTCTGAAGTCCTCCACCAGAGAATGTATAAATGTCTGAAGTCCTCCACCAGAACAAATGCTGTTCTTAACTTGCTCTATGACAGATAAATAGGCTACCTTTAAAACAGAAAGTAATGTGGGAAATAATAGTGATATACAAATAATTTCATGTTAGATATTTCTGATTTGTCCTACCATTCATCACTTTTCAGGGATTGCCTATGTCAGTTTTAAGAATGAAAAAGACCTTGAAGAAGCCATGAGGAATAACAAAAACTTTATTGGTATGTATAAGCAAGTGTACAGAAAGCAGACTCATATTCTCCAAGAAATATCTAAGATGTGATTTTAAGATCTGTGATTAATTAGAAAAAAGCACAGTTGAAATTCATTACAGAATTATTTTCACTTCTCAAGTTATATTATGGACCTTAATGTTTTTCACATACCACACATTGCAAAACACATAAAAATATTTATGAAATTTAAATTAACAATCAGTTCCTGATTTAATATTGAGTTCTGAGTTCCAACCCTGAGTATAGATACATGTATTTACCTTTAGGTGGTAAGCGTATCTTCCTGAAGAGGTGTACTCGGGCGGAGAGTGGGGCTCCGGTTCAATGGGAAGATGTTCCCCGACTGTGGGAGATGAAGGTTTGGGCACACCGTCACATTAGTTGTATCTGTTGTGTCTTGTTCTATCAGCACATTGTGTGTATAATTTAGATCAGCTAAACCTTAAATTGCCAGCGTTCTCACTAAGTTTAAAAATTAATGTTTGACTCAAAAAGAATAACAGGCTGAATTTTCACATACTATAATACTGACCGTTACATATTCTAAATAAAAGCCGTTTCGAAGTTGAATAGCAGGCTACTTTTGCCGGAAACCGTCTTTGAACGAGAACACTGATTGCATACATCTTACAAATAATTTTCCACATATGTGGAACTTAAAGAAAATGGGATTTATTTTTTCTAAAATTTCTTTGGTTTCAGTCTAAGGAGGAGGACGGTGAGGAGGAAACGATCGCTGAGGTAAGACCATGTAAATGTCTTATTTGTCCACTTGCAAGTAGCCAAGAATTAGTAATAATTTCATGTTTATCTTAGAACTCCATTGGGATTGTATACAGTTGCTGCAGTGAGATACAAACAAGAGGTCCATTGTCTTGGTGTTTGTCTTAGAAATTACCGAGGGTTCTGGTCACAAATAAGCTGAAGCATCTCAATGTCTTGTTTGGTTAAGATCACAGTACAAACATGTGAATGATACAGGCTTTCAGATTTACCATATATACCAGTATTATTCCACAATTAAAATGAAATTTAAAAAGGAGTCCTAAATTATAATTATACATGTACTATACATGTTTATTGAAATGTGTTTTGCATGTAACATATTACATACTTATTACAGTCAGGAAGGATATTTGTGAGGAACCTGACCTATTCCTGTACAGAAGAGGATCTCCAAAAGTTATTTGAAAGATATGGTAAGTGGTACCTATTTAATGCTATTTAAGTATATTTTATCCCTACCACTTTCACCTTATGACAGACTTTGTGTCTTTGACTTGTAATAAAAGCCTGCCATAATCCAAAGAAAAGTGTTGCTTTGCTGTCGTTTATCAGAAATCAGACCAGAAATGCTTCTTTTTATATCAGAAATAAGATCAAACATTTCACTTTTATTTCATAATTTAAACCAAAAAATGTTTCCATATTGTATGAAGTATCATTGTCAAAAAAGAAAACTGCTACATATTCAGATGTTATAGCATTGTATTGGTTAGAAAAAAGGAAAAACAGAGCAAATACATCAAATTTCCTTACAGGTCCGGTGTCAGAAATTCATCTCCCTATTGACAGTCTGACAAAGAAAGTGAAAGGATTTGCTATTGTGACCTACCTCATGCCTGAACACGCCGTGAATGCCTACGCGGAACTAGATGGAACAACCTTTATGGTAAATGCCACCTTTCTAGACAGAATTAAGGATATATGCCACAATATACATCATTCCTGTGGTTTGTATTAGAGTTATACATTACTTTCCATTGCTAATTACTTTATAATTTGGAATTACCAAAGTGTTGTTTTTTTGTCAATACATTGAATATGCATTGTTGTTTACATTTCTAATGTCTCATCAATATTAATGAACAAACTAACAATTCCATTCACAAAATATTTTTGTCTGGAGAACTCTTTAGTGAAGGAGGTATTTTTCAGGATTATTAGTTGGAATTGTTTCTGAAAAGAGTTGTACATCTTGGCTGCACTTGTTTATCAAACGGTTGGACTAAACTTAATTTATGAAATAAGGACACAGCTAAGTGATGTGATAGGCGTTCTTGTGAGCCTTGACAAAGTCTATCCAGGCCTGCATTAACATTTGCAACCTGTTTAGAAAATGAAACTGTCATCACACTAGCTCTAAATCAATGATTTCTAGACATTCTGACCTAATGTGCAGACTTACACTTGCTACAGATTGTAATACATGTGTATAGACATACACTGGCTACAGATTGTAATACCTGTGCATAGACATACACTGGCTACAGATTGTAATACATGTGTATAGTCGAACACTGCCAGCAGGAAAAAAACTAGTGTTTGATACACTAATTACTTAACAGGATAAAATTTCTGAATTGAAAATGTGTTTCTGTGTTTGCAGGGAAGACTGATTCATCTTATACCGGCTAAGACAAAAAAAGAAGATGAATCCAAGATATCAGGTATATCAATGGCTGTAGTGACTGTGTCATATGTACTTGTATGTTGACTTTCCGCTGTAGTGACTATGTCATATGTACTTGTATGTTGACTTCCTGCTGTAGTGACTATGTCATATGTACTTGTATGTTGACTTCCTGCTGTAGTGACTATGTCATATGTACTTGTATGTTGACTTCCCGCTGTAGTGACTATGTCATATATACTTGTATGTTGACTACCTGCTGTAGTGACTTTGTCATATGTACTTGTATGTTGACTTCCTGCTGTAGTGACTATGTCATATGTACTTGTATGTTGACTTCCTGCTGTAGTGACTATGTCATGTGTACTTGTATGTTGACTTCCTGCTGTAGTGACCATGTCATATGCACTTGTATGTTGACTTCCTGCTGTAGTGACTATGTCATATGCACTTGTATGTTGACTTCCTGCTGTAGTGACCATGTCATATATTTATATTTATTCAGTTAAAAATTAATGTTTGCAGAACTTGTTGATAATGAATTAATTAACTCTTTTTTTTCAGAGGGTTCATCTTACAAAAACAAAAAACAGGACAAACAGAAAGCTTTGGCTGGCAGGTATGTTTTTGTAATTTAGGAATTTTAAAAAACTGTTAATCAAATCCATATTAAAGTAAGTTCAATGTTAAGTAATAGGGATAATTATATACAGATTATAATGTCTCTTTAATGTTAGTTTAATATCAGTTTAACTTTTGATGCCCAGTGTTATCTACATAAATGAGCTGATGAAATTAGATTTTGTGTACTTTGAAATGTCAAGATTTAACAAAATATCTGGGTTGTGAGTTGTATTTTCACAGCAAAAGATGTAGGAACTGTACCCATTTTGTGTGTGTGTAATGGAGAAGCACTGACTAAAATCATCAGTAACAATACTGTAAATAGCACATGTATTTCTGTTGTTGGTGCTGTACATAATTAAGAACTGTAAAGACAGCTTAACAGGTACTACAATATGAATACTCATTACCGCTACACAAGTATGATTACAGTTTGTACACTAAATAATACCTTGAATATTTCTTGCGTTTCTGCAAAGATGACCGACACATGATGTGTTATGTAAGCTTTATAAAATGATATACCAAAATGATGGAGGCTGAGATGATGCAACAGTCTTCTTTACTTAAAGTGTTTTGTAAGAATATGACACTTTATTTACATGAAAATCTTGTTGGTTGCAGTTCTCACAACTGGAATTCTTTGTTTCTGGGGGCTAACGCTGTGGCCGATGTCCTGGCAGACAAGTATGGGGCAGAGAAAAGTCACATTCTAGATGCAGTAAGTTTAACCTGAATGTACATTCAGAGATTTATTAGTGTAAAGTGTCTTATAAGTTAATAGTTGTCAGGGAAATATTTTTTGGAGATGTCCAAAAGACTTAAATAATAAATCAATATTTTTTGCCATCATTAAAATATATAATGCAATAAGAATTTTCTTACATTTTTTCTGGCAGTTAAGAAAGAGACAATAATAAGTTCAAAAAATAGGAAAAACACATGCCATTGTGTAGCTACCAAATAAATGGAAACATTTTGAAATTTTGTCATTCAAGGAAACACCGAAACTGTGATGCATATTGGTGTTGTTCCTGTGGAAAAAACATACCTTGTACTTGAATCATGTTCTGCAACACTTAGACTTTGTTAAATTAATGGTGAATAATCTGAACACTTGACTGCTACCTAAAGCTGTAGAATACAGGTCTACTTGTCCATCAATTGAGAAATAACATGTACATGTGTATGGCTGTGTTATTACCTGTAGGAGGCAAAGCAGAGTCTTGGAGTGAGGATGGCCTTGGGAGAGACCCAGATTGTGGCTGAAACACGTGATTTCCTGTTAGAGGAGGGCGTGGCACTCGACAGCTTCAGTCAGGTAAGCACAGTGATTGTCACCTTGATAAAGAAACCACCTAATAGATGTATTCTAAATTAAAGCAGTACAGTAAACCCTGTATGGTTAGACCACTCAATATGCTAAATTGTATAAATTAAAAAAAAAAAACGTCTAGAAAGACAACCCCAGCCTTATGAGATATACTACCAAAATGAGATACACATACATGTATGTAACATGAATTTTTTCTGAAGTATATGAATTCAATAATAATCTATTTTAATAGAGATACCCTTCCTTTCCATATATGTAAGACTTGTATTTCTTATAAATAAGGTAGACTTAATAAAACCTTTCGGAGGAGACCACCCTTTGATAGACCACACATTCATACTAAATTACATCATTTCAATAGCCCTCTCTTGATAGACCACCAATATGATGTACCAGCTTTTTATTTAGAAAATTTCTTGAAGGCTGTACATAAAGACCAACATCATGATAGATCACATATTTGTGAGATCATTTCAGTAAAGCCTGCTAAGAATCACCATTGTTTATATATAGTTATATAGTTACAGAAGAATTCTCATAAACATATATGCGCTATTCTGAAAACTGTATAAGATTTATGACTTTTTTTATCCGTAATATTGAATGATTTTTGCAATTTCAGAATTTGAGGTTAAATAAAAAAGTTAAAATTGATAAAAAAGAAATGTTTTTTCTATTTATAGCCTTCAGCAGCAAGAAGTAAAACAGTGATGCTGGTGAAGAACTTGCCAGCAGGTACAAAGTGTGAGGAGTTGAGAGACTTATTCAGTAAACATGGGACAGTCGGTCGGGTCGTTCTCCCACCGTCAGGTGTCACAGCCATCGTAGAATACCTGGAACCAACCGAGGCCAAGTCAGGCTTCAGGAGGATTGCCTATTCCAAGGTTGGTTTAATATAGATTGGGACTTCCTGCTTGCATATTTCTAGATTGGTTTTTTAGAAAACAAAACTGTTCATTTTTAACAAATCTGAGTTTACTGATCTAAGATTTGGTACACACAAGTTCATTACTTCAAGTTGATTTTGGCTTTATATAAAGTTTTCTTTCTGATTGTCTTTTTTCCAAGATTGACTTTCTTTACAAACTTTTTGCCTTCTGGTCCCATCAGATGGCACTATACATTCAGATTATTCTTAATCCAAGGTTGATGACTTTTGGATGACATTTAAGACTGAAACCTACCATTCAAATTACCTCCACTGTTCATTAGTCCTGTCTGTCCTTCTTTCCATCCTTCCGTTCGAGATGTTTGTCCGGGACATATGTTCTATACTATTTCTCTTGGAGTTACCAGATTTGGTGTACAAGGACATCTTGGGATGGTGGAGTGCAAGACAAAGGTCACTAAAACCTCACTGTGACCTATGCTTTGACCTTAGCTGCTGTTCCCTTAAATTTATTTTCTTTGAATACACTGTATGCTAGAGTGCATAGGCAGGAGAATTCGTACAGTGCCATCTCACATAATTGATTATGTGACCTATCGCTATCTCTTCGTCCATCATCTGTTAATAACTGATTTCTTTTCTCAACTTCTCAAGATGTTACTTTTCTTGACAATCAAAAATTCCAAGATGGCTGCTCTGAATGCTGATTGGTGGAGACGTTTTTGTTTTCTTCTCATGAACCACTGAAGCAAATAACTCCAAACTTGGTACTTATGCTGCTTATAGTTTCCTTACCAAGTGCTCTTTTTTCTGTGCCAATACAAATATTTTAGATGGCCACCCTGCCTTCTGGTTGACTGAGACAGTTATCTGATTCTCTATAGAACATTTGAAATGATTGACTTTAAGGGTGTTTCTAAATCATAAGGGCCCATGAATCTCAGGCTGTTATTATCATCAATATCTAAGGCCAAATTATTTCTGGAGTTCTCTGAGACTTACTATATATTAAGTGTTTGTGATATTAACACTGTTTTGTATGGCCATCAGTTCCAGCACGTCCCCCTATACCTGGAGTGGGCTCCTGTGGAAGTGTTTAAGGCCCCAGCCACCATACCAACAGTCAAGGAAGAGGAAAAACAGAAGGAAACCGGCACTGTTCCAAATGAAGCACAGGTAGTAAAATAATAGTTTTGAGAAACTGATCATTAAGATAAAAATGTTTAAGGATATTTTAGCTCAATTATAATTTTCTTTGGTTGTATGTGTCACCCTGGTAAAATACTAGCCGCTTCCACCGACTTGGCTAGAGAGAATTTCTTTTAGCTCATTCGGTAGAGTGTAAGACCGATCTCTTTGAAACTTGGTATACATTATAATCATGATATGAAGTTGTGTTACCCTTAAAAGAATTTTGATTCGACAATTTTTCCAAAAGTTATTGCCCTTTGTTCATTTCAGTATTTGATTTTCTCCTACATTTTTATAGCATGTCAGCTTACCACTCTTAGAATAATGCAGATCTTATTTCAATGTAAGAAAGTATATAACACTATATGGCATTCGACGGGCGTATATTGTTCCGCCCTGCGGTACTCTTGTTTTTTAATCTAATACACACATAAAAGTCAAGTCACGATTTCCTGAATTATTAACTCATCCACCCCTGAAGACACATTTGAACTCTTCCTATTCATAGATTGGTATAGTTCATAATGAAATTTCAGAGGTGAATGAGTTAAGCTGCAAAAGCTTAAATGTTGAGGTTGAAGGAAGGCCATGATTGTTTTGTTGCTAAGAAGTAGTTGTTTGAGAGGAAAGTTATGATAGAAGACAATGATAACCTGGGTGTTGATTGTTAACATATGGAAAATATTGGAGAAAGGCTACAAGAATTTAATTATTAAAGTTTGAAAATAAAGGAAGGATATGAATATTTGATTTGAAGGTTGAGAAGATGGATATAAACAAGACAAAGAAGGAAGAGAAACAAATAGAGGAGGAATCAGAGGAGGAGGAAGAGGTGCCAGAGTCGGGAACAACACTATTTGTGAAAAATCTGAACTTTGATTCGCGAGAGGATGAACTAAGGGAGGTAAGGCGAGAGTTCAAATGGGATTGTTGATTTCGACCATATCATAAACAAATTTGTTTCAGAAATAGCAGGGTTTACGGTTATGAAAATGGGGATCTAATATTGGTAAAACAGGGCCAATGACTCCAAAATTTAAAAAAAATCTTGAGGTAGGAAAATGCTACCTATTGCATGTATTTGTGGTCAGATTATCGAAGTTTGTTAAACCCAGCCCCCAGCTTGGGTTCTAAAAGAGGTGATGGGTCACAAAAGGGGGAAAAGGAAATAAATTTGAATGTATGGTTACTTCCATGACAGCTTCAGTCTAATCCTTTGAGGTGTGGATGTATGTTGGCTAAACTACAGTTTGTTATGAATACTTCCATGACAGCTTCAGTCTAATCCTTTGAGGTGTGGATGTATTTGGGCTAAACTACAGTTTGTTCAACTCTTTTCATTCATGATCTTAATGAGGCCAAGCCAGATATTAAACTTGGTAGAGCAATCTAAGACCCATGGACCTCTTGTAAAGTGAAACAATTATTAACACAAGTTACAATGTTTAGATCATCTTTTCTAGATACAAGTTTGATTTATAAGCTGTCATATTCCAAAGTTGTTGTTTTTGTCTTTCGAATTCGTCAATTTGAAAACTATTTTTGTCTTTCAGAAATTCAAGAAATGTGGCAAGATTAAGAGTGTTTCAGTGGCCAAGAAAAAGGACATGAAAAACTTAGGTATGATCTGTGAATTAAAGATAAACACACAGAGATCTACAGGGATATAGGGGTTAGTAACAAACCACATCACAAGTTGTATCAAGGTCCCTTAGTAAACCAATAATGTAACAACAAAAAAGTGACAAACTTCAATGTTTGAAACACTGTTAGGAATTCCTACTGACCCCCTAAGGGTTTTTAGAGGGCCACCTGACAGTAATTGACCGATGGGTTAACAACATTTTAGTCTGGTGTGTGGCAAACTTTATTATACAGGCTGGGTACTGACAGTGTAACTAGGCTACAGTTATAGCCAAAACGAAATGAAGGGGAGGTAACTGTAGATCTTAAAGCACAGTGAAGTGGGATAGGGATCCTTAATATAAATGTCAGTTTATTAAAAAAATGTCTGTATGTAATTTTCTTCAGGAAATTATCTGTCCATGGGTTATGGATTTGTTGAGTACTATGAGAAGGCGAGTGCAGATCAGGCCTTGAAGACACTACAACACACTGACCTGGATGGCCATACACTTGAACTCAAGATTTCACACCGCCAAACAGGGTAAGCGGGGTATTATCAGCCCACAATCATCAGATGGTGTTCTGTTCAAATTGCCTTTCTTGGCTGGTCTGTTGTCTGTTCTTCTTTCAGTCATTGGTCGGTTCCTCATCCATCTGTTCATACGCAATTCTTGTTATCGCTGTTTCTAAAAAAACTGATGGACTGGTCTTTTCCATATTTCATATTAAAGTTTCCCTTGGTCCTGTAATTGTTGTGTAAATTTTTTCATTTTCAGACTGATCCGAAGAACAAGATAGCTGCCAAGTGGCTATTTTAGAATTTGATAGTATTTTTTTTTTTATATATATATTACAAAATGTACTACAGACAGCTGTCTTGGTCAGGCTTCAAGGCTTAGTTGTGAAGTATTGATTTTTAAAACCTGTCACAAGAATAAAAGAATAAAATGGATGTGAGGTGGTTATCTTTGAATTTGACAGTTAAGGTTTGTCATCGCTATTTTCACAGAAAGTAAAGGTACAGATCTTTCTCAAATTTCCTGTTGCAGTATTCTGGTAACAGGGTTGCCCACTCTCAGAGACAAAATCTCACCCCGAGACGTCCTTATTCACACAACAACCCCACTTTGAAAGAACAAGGTTAAACGCAATAGAAGTTTTGATAAAAAGTTAATGCCAGATGCTTTTTTTTTTTTACTGTTGACTATCAATTCAACAGAGAAGGTATTTAAAAAAGAAAAAATCAATTTTGCATAGAATTAATGAAGGTCTTACAATGGATGGTGCCAAGATTCCTCTGGAATATTTTGTTTATTTGGAATATTTTGTTTATTTACCCCCAATGCCATAACCGCCCTACTTACTCCAATGTCCATGATTGCATCTAGAATTTTCTTCAAAGGAACAATGTCTCTTGTTGAAAAGGCAAAACAAAAACAAAAAATCATTGTGCTTCTGGATTTGGTTAATAACAGATGAAGCTGGTCATGTCTATTTGATGTTTTGGTTTATATCTCAGTAAGATACGTGCTACAACATATTACAATTATCATCGGTAAGTAATATCTATGGTATAAGCTTAGATCACTCTATAAATACATACCCAGCCATTGACTAACTCAAGGCTGTTCCACATATAAATACACGAAATTTGAGCATTATTTTACACCCCACCACCCATACATAATTGGTAAGTGCTTCCGTGCCCGCTACATAATACCTCCACTAGAATAGCCCTAAGATTAAGGAGTAAATGACAAACTTAACAGTATCATTAGAAAGGAGGCATACATAGCTAATACATATACTTCCAACCCAGCATTTGTTCAAAAGTTTGTTGTTGTTTATTATTAACAGAAGCACAGAAACAAAACCTACGAAAAAGAAGAAGGCTAAGGCAACTAAACAAAAAACCTCGAAAATCCTTGTAAGAAACATCCCATTCGAGGCAAAGAGGAAGGAGGTCTTTGAACTCTTTAAGTAAGTAATTACAAATCAGAATATTACAACTCGTACATGTGTGGTTCCTCTTTAATGTAGTAAGCCTGCATGGTGACAATTTTACTTTGACTGGGACTCTGAATGGATTTGGGATATTCTGATACCTTTTCATGTTAGGAGTTGTCTCCCCTTATTTGCACTGATGTAATTAATTTTACAAGTATTTTATCAGAATAATATAAAATGTGATATTGAATTGGTGTTTATCTTCATTATTTGGCAGTAAAACAGTAAGCAGGCTGTATCTTTCATCTCTGTAGTTATATGGTAATAATATTTTAGTGGTATTGAAGGCCACACACACTTTGTTGAAAGTAGTCACCAATTCTGTGAAAATTGAAAACATTTCCTTTTTTCAATGAGAAAGATACGTTTACAAATTATGCAGTTTATTTCTAATGATTTTAGAAATTTTGTTTTTGGCCGATCTTTAACCTTTTCACCAATGTAGACCATAATGGACTCATCCCGATCAATGCATGGTAGAGTCTACTAAAGTTACATAGGGGTGAAAGGGTTAATGAGATATATACTGGTACATGTATCACGTTATCGGGCTTGCTGGCGAGCTAAATGAAAACAATATTTTGTTGGGACAATAACTGTCCTGCTATTTCACCAACATTCACCAAACTTGCTTATGATTTATGAGTTTTGGAAAAGTGAAGTGTTGCATGTTGAAGTTTAGTCTCCTCTTCTGTTATATGCAGAGTTACTGCCCTTTGTTTCTGATACAAATGTATGAAGCATAGCTTTCTTTCTATTTCACCTACATTCACCAAACTTGCTTTTGGTTTATAAAATTGGGAAAGGTGGAGTGTTGCATACTGAAGTTAGGTCTCATGTCCTACTTTATGCAGAGTTATGGCCTCACATTAATTTTTGATTTGTTTGTCTAGAGCATAAGTTCCTTGCGTTTTCGCCTTCATTCACCACACTTGTTAAACTTATGTATCTTAGGAAGGCATATTGCGGCAAATTGAAGTTAGGTCTCATGTTCCACGGTAAACAGATTTGTTGCCCTTTGCTTTTCCTTTTTTTGATGCTCTGGTGCGGCGTCCGTCAGTCCGTCGTCAACTATTAACTTTAAACAACTTTTTCTGAATAACCAAGAGGTCCAGGCTGATGATATTTGGCCAGTAGCTTGCTTGGATAAAGGGCTACCAAGGTTGTTCAAATGAATGACATTTGTCCATTTTCAAGGTCACAGGGGTCAAATATGTTAAAATCTTCAAACAATTTCTGAATAACCAGTAGGCCCAGGATTATGATATTTAGGTAATAACATGCTGGGATGAAGCACTACCAAATTTGTTCAAATGAGTTACCTTGCCCATATTCAAAGTCACAGGGGGGTCAAATATGTCAAAACTTTTTAACAACTTCTTCTAAATAACCAAAAGGCTAAGGATGATGATATTTGGCAAGTCACATGCTGGGATGAAGGACTACAAAGTGTGTTCAAATGATTGACCTTTGCCCATATTCAAGGGCACAGGGGTCAAATATGTTAAAATCTTTAAACAACTTGTGAATAACCAAAAGGCCCAGGATGATGATATTTGGCCAGTAACATGCGAGGATGAAGCACTACCAAGTTTTGTTCAAATGAATGACCTTCGCCCATATTAAAGGTCACATGGGGGTTAGATATGTTTAAACTTTCAAACAACTTCTTCTGAATAACCAGAAGGCCCAGGATGATGATATATGGCCAGAAGGATGTTGGCATGAAGGGCTACAAAGTTTGTTTCAAATGAATGATCTTCGTCCATATTCAAGGTCACAGAGGTTATTTGTCTAAAAAAATCACTAAAAACTACTCTGGTCCATAGTGCATAAATCTTTACAAGTCATCTTCTCAATAAACAAAAGGAATAGGGCCATTAGGGTGGTGATATTTGACAAGTTGCATTCTGGGATGAAGGCTATAAAGTTTGTTCAATTTGATGTCCATGTTTGACTTTCAAGGTCACAAGGGTCAAATGTGTTTATATCGTTTCACAGGTTTCTTCTGAATGACTTTAGTCAAGACACTGATATTTTGCCTGTAGCTTTATTTTAGTCCACTTTTTTATTGTGAGATTAATACCAGGTGAACGATGCAGGCCCATTGGGCCTCTTGTTCAAGTTTTTATTTGCCCATCAAAAATTTTGAGATGATGTAGTATAGTATTTGGAGTGTCTGTCTGTTCTTACGTCTGTTGAAACTTAGGTTTCTGCATTATTGCTTGCTTAATATCATTTTTGGATATAATTAAGTAAAAATGTAATAGATTTATTTGAAAATGTCACTTGCATCTCTTCAAATGAAATTAGAAAACAAAAATTGATGTTTGTAAAATTAAAATGACTTTTTGAAAAGTCTTTAAAACCCCTCTGATCTTTAAAATGAGAATTTCTCCCTGTAATTTACTTTTGTGTTCTTTGTAGATGATAGTGTTTCTGAAACAATATGTGGGGGTTATCATGATAATTTATTGTTTTGTTCATTTCCAGGACCTTTGGTGAACTGAAGTCAGTACGCCTACCTACCAAGCTTAGTGGGTCTGGTACACATAGGGGTTTTGGATTTGTCGACTTTCTTACCAAGCAGGATGCCAAGGTAAGTTCTTCATTTTGAGTGATCTATATACTAATCTGATTTCTGTTACAGTGTACCAATCTTTCCACCTCCCTTTCATTAGCGTGGTTGAAACTGCTTCCCAAGATATCAAGAAGTGCATTTAAATTTGACAAACAGAAGCTGGATCACTCAGGGGACTTTTTTCCTGGTATAAAGTTAGTTATAGAAGATAGCAGTAATTATACACAAAATGGGTAAATCTCAATGATTAAAAAATAAATTCCGCCAGCATTACCATTTATTTGTTAACTTTTATATCAAATGATTATCAGAAACAATATTTCATTTCTTTGTAAATTTGTTTATTTTTACTGGTTCTGTTCATTTAGAGAGCATTCGAGGCTCTGTGTCACAGTACCCATTTGTATGGGAGACGTTTGGTGCTAGAATGGGCTGAAGCTGAAGAAGATCTGGAGGAGCTACGACGCAAAACATCTCAACATTTTCATGACGGTAATTAAATTGCAAATTCTTAGAAAACAAAAATTGTTGTATGAAACTGGTTTATAAATGACTAAAAGTTCATGACATTTCTCATACATGTACAATGAAAAGAACCGGGGAGACATATTCACACAAATGCACATTCCAGTAAGTTTGTCTCCCCATCAAGATGAAATTGACCAGACTGTAATTATAAGAAGGTTGTATTATTGAGACGATTTTGTTAGCAAAAAGGTGTGTCCTTTGCCTGAAATGACAACTGAAGTAGTGGGTCCGAAGGATCTGGAAAGTAAAGTTATCCCTTTACATGAAACTCAACAGAAAGTTTGGGTTGTAGAACATTCATGTTAAGAAATTGTAGAACATTCATGGAAAGAAATGGATGCAAGCAAACATTGCATTGAATTTGTTCTCATATTGGATGGTTAATAAAAAATTAAACCTTATTCTTTCTCAGATGCTCCGATGAACAAACGCGTGAAGAAGTCAGCCATCATGGATACACTGGAGATGTCTCACAAAGGATCCTGATGTAGGAGGCAGTCTGTCCAGATACAGCGGTGTCGACATGTGGTTTTAAACAGCGGTCAAATATAATCTGTTACCAATAAAACGTTTTATAAATTTAAAAGACTTTGTAGAAATTATTTTTCCCACCGTTCCTTTCATAGCTTTTTGTCTCGCCGCCCCGAAGTAGCAGTAGCGAGACTTAGGTGTTGCCCTAAGTAGCAGTAGCGAGACTTAGGTGTTGCCCGAAGTAGCGGTAGTGAAACTTAGGTGTTGCCAGAAGTAGCAGTAGCTAGACTTAGGTGTTGCCCGAAGTAGCAGTTGCGAGACTTAGGTGTTGCCCGAAGTAGCAGTAGCGAGACTTAAGTGTTGCTCGAAGTAGCAGTAGCGAGACTTAGGTGTTGCCGGAAGTAGCAGTAGCGAGACTTAGGTGTTGCCTGAAGTAGCAGTAGCGAGACTTAGGTGTTGCCCTAAGTAGCAGTAGCGAGACTTAGGTATTGCCCGAAGTAGCGGTAGTGAAACTTAGGTGTTGCCAGAAGTAGCAGTAGCGAGACTTAGGTGTTGCCCAAAGTAGCAGAAGCGAGACTTAGGGGTTGCCAGAAGTAGCAGAAGCGAGACTTAGGGGTTGCCCGAAGTAGCAGTAGCGAGACTTAGGAGTTGCCCGAAGTAGCAGTAGCGAGACTTAGGAGTTGCCCGAAGTAGCAGAAGCGAGACTTAGGAGTTGCCCGAAGTAGCAGTAGCGAGACTTAGGAGTTGCCCGAAGTAGCAGAAGCGAGACTTAGGTTTTGCCAGAAGTAGCAGTAGCGAGACTTAGGTGTTGCCCTAAGTAGCAGTAGCGAGACTTAGGTGTTGCCCTAAGTAGCAGTAGCGAGACTTAGGTGTTGCCCTAAGTAGCAGTAGCGAGACTTAGGTGTTGCCCAAAGTAGCAGAAGCGAGACTTAGGTGCTGTCAGAAGTAGCAGAAGCGAGACTTAGGTGTTGCCCGACGTAGCAGTAGCGAGACTTAGGTGTTGCCCGAAGTAGCGGTAGTGAAACTTAGGCGTTGCCAGAAGTAGCAGTAGCTAGACTTAGGTGTTGCCCGAAGTAGCATTTGCGAGACTTAGATGTTGCCCGAAGTAGCAGTAGTGAGACTTAGGTGTTGCTCGAAGTAGCAGTTGCGAGACTTCGGTGTTGCCCGAAGTAGCAGTAGCGAGACTTAGGAGTTGCCCGAAGTAGCAGAAGCGAGACTTAGGTTTTGCCAGAAGTAGCAGTAGCGAGACTTAGGTGTTGCCTGAAGTAGCAGTAGCGAGACTTAGGTGTTGCCCTAAGTAGCAGTAGCGAGACTTAGGTGTTGCCCTAAGTAGCAGTAGCGAGACTTAAGTGTTGCCCGAAGTAGCCGTAGCGAGACTTAGGTGTTGCCCGAAGTAGCGGTAGTGAAACTTAGGCGTTGCCAGAAGTAGCAGTAGCTAGACTTAGGTGTTGCCCGAAGTAGCAGTTGCGAGACTTAGATGTTGCCCGAAGTAGCAGTAGTGAGACTTAGGTGTTGCCCGAAGTAGCAGAAGTGAGACTTAGGTGATGCCAGAAGTAGCAGTAGCGAGACTTAGGTGTTGCACGAAGTAGCAGTAGCGAGACTTAAGTGTTGCCCGAAGTAGCAGCAGCGAGACTTAGGTGTTGCCCGAAGTAGCAGTAGCGAGGCTTAAGTGTTGCCCGAAGTAGCAGTAGCGAGACTTAAGCGTTGCCCGAAGTAGCAGTAGCGAGACTTAGGGGTTGCCCGAAGTAGCAGTAGCGAGACTTAGGCGTTGCCGGAAGTAGCAGTAGCGAGACTTAGGTGTTGCCCTAAGTAGCAGTAGCGAGACTTAGGTGTTGCCCTAAGTAGCAGTAGCGAGACTTAGGTGTTGCCCTAAGTAGCAGTAGCGAGACTTAGGTGTTGCCCAAAGTAGCAGAAGCGAGACTTAGGGGTTGCCAGAAGTAGCAGTAGCGAGACTTAGGTGTTGCACTAAGTAGCAGTAGCGAGTCTTAAGTGTTGCCCGAAGTAGCAGTAGCGAGACTTAGGTGTTGACCGAAGTAGCAGTAGCGAGACTTAGGTGTTGACCGAAGTAGCAGTAGCGAGACTTAGGTGTTGCCCTAAGTAGCAGTAGCGAGACTTAGGTGTTGCCCAAAGTAGCAGAAGCGAGACTTAGGTGTTGTCCGAAGTAGCAGTAGCGAGACTTAGGTGTTGTCCGAAGTAGCAGTAGCTAGACTTAGGTGTTGCTCGAAGTAGCAGTTGCGAGACTTAGGTGTTGCCCGAAGTAGCAGTAGCGAGACTTAGGTGTTGTCCGAAGTAGCAGAAGCGAGACTTATATTAGGTGTTGCTTTTTCGGCGACGGTGTCAACATCAAGTTTTTGCGTTTAAGTTAGTTTCTCTGAAACTATAAGTGCTAGACCAACCAAACTTAGACCATACATGCATCTTAGATAGTACATCTCAACCCATGCATCAAATCCTGGATGCAGCCTACCTTTCATGGTCCATTGACTTTGTCAGCATCTCTATCAACATTAAGTTTTTGCGTTTAAGTTAGTTTCTCTGATACATGTATGTTCATTGATGGTTTAAGCGGGGCACAGGCGAGACATATCAATCTGAATGGCTTGTTTTCAATATCAAAACATGTGTGACATAAATTATGATCCCCTCCAAATTGACAATTGACGACATAGCAAGGAACCTTGATGAAAATAAACAAATTGACGTCGCCCTTTTAGATTTCTCGAAAGCATTCAACAAAGTCCCTCATGCAAGATTACTTTCCAAACTATAATATTATGGGTAGATCCAGATACTGTTGGTTGGTTTTCCTCTTTTCTGAACAACAGACAACAGAAAGTAATAATTAGCGTTACCAGCTCTGATAGCGCCCCTGTCCTATCCGGGGTACCTCAGGGAACGGTTGTTGGCCCACTCCTCTTTTTGGTCTAAATTAATGACATCATCGACTCTGTTTCCTGCGACATCAAACTCTTTGCTGACGACTGCTTATTATATAGAGAAATTAACTAATAAGAAGACTGTCAAAAAATGTTCTTTCATCAACATATCTAAAAAGAAAAATCCAATTAAATTAAGCTACTCCCTGCACAATCAAGTTTTGGAAAATTTAGACTCTAGCAAATACCAAGGGGTCACTTTCACCTCGGACCTAAATTGGGATAAACACATACAATCCATCACCAGCAAGGCAAATAGGACACTGGGATTTCTGCGTCGCAACATGTCATCATGCACCAGAAAAGTCAAAACCCAGACATTCGCCACACTAGTAAGACCATCATTAGAATATGCAGCCACTTGCTGGGACCTTTTTATTTCAGACCAGGTCCTAGCAATTGAAAATGCACAGCGTAGGGCTGCCAGATACGTATTTAATTATCATAGATCTAGAGAGCCTGGATGTGTCACCAACATGATAAATATAATTAACTGGGAGCCCCTAGCCCAGCGAAGAACAAAAGCCAGGCTCATGATGTTATATAAAATAATAAACGGACATGTGGCCATTGATCCATCCCAATTCATAACATCAGGCGACAGGAGGGACCCACAAAATTAATCAAATATCAACACACACAAATTTGTATAAATGTTCATTCTTCCCTAGAACTATTGTTAACTGGAATTCGCTAACATCATCCCTAGCACAGGAGCCAAACCTGAACTCTTTCAGGTCTGCCCTGGCTAGTTTCAACCTTCCATAAAGTGTTTTCTGTTTTTATCTTATAGTACAAATTAACAAAAATAATTGTTTTTAACATTTTTAATGCCACCTCCCAGGATCAAGTGCACTCAAACCTCTGAGTCTGATCCTTGTAAAGGAAGAAAAAGAAGAAGAAGAATATTCAGACATATTATAGTTCTAGTCTACAAAAAGTAAAAATTCAGGCATATCATAGTGATAGTCTACACCAAGTAAAAAAATCAGACATATTATAGTTCTAGCCTACACAAAGTAAAAATTCAGGCATATCATAGTGATAGTCTACACCAAGTAAAAAAATCAGACATATTATAGTTCTAGCCTACACAAAGTAAAAATTCAGGCATATCATAGTGATAGTCTATACAAAGCAAAAATTCAGACATATTATAGTTCTAGTCTACACAAAGTAAAAATTCAGACGTATTATAGTTCTAGTCTACACAAAGTAAAAATTCAGACATATTATAGTTGTAGTCTACACAAAGTAAAAATTCAGACATATTATAGTTCTAGTCCACACAAAGTAAAAATTCAGACATATTATAGTTCTAGTCTACACAAAGAAAAAATTCAGACATATTATAGTTCTAGTCTACAAAAAGTAAAAATTCAGGCATATCATAGTGATAGTCTATACAAAGTAAAAATTCAGACATATTATAGTTCTAGTCTACACAAAGTAAAAATTCAGACATATTATAGCTCTAGTCTACACAAAGTAAAAATACAGACATATTATAGTTACAGACTACATAAAGTAAAAATTATAGTTCTAGTCTTCACAAAGTAAAAATTCAGACATATTATAGTTCTAGCCTTGCACAAAATAAAAATTCACGCATATTATAGTTCTAGTCTACACAAAGTAAAAATCAGACATATTATAGCTCTAGTCTACACAAAGTAAAAATTCAGGCATACCATAGTGATAGTCTATACAAAGTAAAAAATCAGACATATTATAGCTCTAGTCTACGCAAAGTAAAAATCAGACATATTATAGTTCTAGTCTACACAAAGTAAAAGTTTAGACATATTATAGTTCTAGCCTTACCAAAAGTAAAAAATCAGACATATTATAGTCCTAGTCTACACAAAGTAAAAATCAGACATATTATAGTTCTAGTCTACACAAAGTAAAAGTTTAGACATATTATAGCTCTAGTCTACACAAAATAAAAATTAGACATATTACAGTTCTAGTCTACACAAAGTAAAAGTTTAGACATATTATAGTTCTAGCCTTACACAAAATAAAAATTCACGCATATTATAGTTCTAGCCTTACACAAAATAAAAATTCACGCATATTATAGTTCTAGCCTTACACAAACTAAAAATTCAGGCCAATCATAGTGATAGTCTACACAAAGTAAAAATGCAGACCTATCAGGTACATCTGTATACGTAGGTGATAATTAAAGAGCACACTGCAGCGACCTAAGGTTCCTATCGATTTAACGTTCACCATGTCACAATCATGACTTATTTCATTTCAACAGATTTTATTGATATGGTGTTATGGTCAAAAGGATCGAATAACAGGCAAGCCTATATATTTTTTTCCATAGGTGGCTAGAGTGTTACAAGAATATTATAGAACTATAGCTAAATATATTTTATAGATATTTTGAAATGAAAAAACATAATGCAAACGATAAAGTAATTAAAGGGAGGTAACTCACTTTTGATTATTTACAATACAACATAGGACATACACACACAGACACACATACACAAACAAAACATAAATATAGTAATTAATATCATAATTACACGTGTACACATGAGTTACTATTTAGCATTCGATACAGTTCGGTAGATAGACCAAAAGTCCATGTGCAAGTACTGCACAGGTCATCACCACCCTAACTGTGTATTAATTTATTTATATGTAACTATTTATTCTACAGATTTAACCCGATATGTACATTTATCAAAAGTATAAGTAAAACATTGTGTAGAGGAGCACAAAATAATTAAATGAAAATATATATTTATTTCACAATCAAATAAATTCACAACCATGTTCAACTGTTTTCATAGAAAATAACAGTTTTTGTCAATATAATGGATTTCTAGATCTTGTAAAAGTTAAAACGTTTCGATTTCCTTATAAAGTAATGTATATCACGAAGCACTAGTCTGTTTGTATTACCTTCACAATTAGGACAGCCATGTAAAATAATTTCAATACCGATATGGTTATGGTCAAAGGCATAATTACTGAGTGAGTTGAATAAATTAATCCTCAAATCATAGTAAATCGTACATTCTAGAAAAAAAATGAGAGACTGTTTCCAATTCATCTGAACAAGTACATACTGGACTATCAGTTACATGGTCATGATGCAAATCAAACTTTAAATCACGACAAAACTTTCTAAGTTGGGAAAGAATAATGTTTGCCCTTCTATCACCTTCAGTTTTTAAAATGTTAACCGATTCACTATCAGTTATAGTATTTTTATCTAACAGCCATTTAAAACTTGCAAGTGTAGGAGAGTCAAACAGATTAGTATCAGTGTTGTTAGCTGTGCGGCACATGAAAGGAAAGAAGCTGTCAAAGTAGTTATTAGTTCTGCATATTGGTGGGTTAAAAAGTCTAGTTTGTCGGAGAGAATAATGATTTTCATTAGGATTTTTTGTAAAGGGGATCAACACATCTTTTAAATATTGCGGTGAGAGTCCATTCATTAATTTATACATCATGATGTATTTGTGTTTCTCTCTTCTGGCAGCCAGTTTCCCAACCAAGTTCGGTATAAAGTTTATTATGCGATGTTCCTGAGCGAAGGCCTGTAATAATTCTTGCTGCTTCTTATTGTATAGATTCTAGAAGATCTGTTGATTGTTGTGTGCAGTTATCCCAAACTATGTCAGCATATTCCAGAATTGACCTAATAAATGCAATATAAATTATGATTAATGTTTTTCGATTTACTCTAGTTTTTATGTAACGAAGAATGTTGAGTCTGCTGTAAGCTTTTTCATATATGTTCTGAATATGTTGTTTCCATGATGCATCATCTGTAAGGGTAAGTCCTACGTGTGTATGTGATGTAATGTCTGTAATTTGGCTGTTTTGAAAAATTATAGTGGGGTGATTTGTGATGTTTCCTTGAAAATATAACTGATTTAGTTTTATTAGGGTTAAATTTTATGTCCCATGTGTTTGTCCATTCATTCATGTTGGTAAGGTCAGTTGTTAGTGTTTGTGCTGCTTGAGCTGGGTCTTCATCTATAATTACATAAAGAGGGGTGTCGTCTGCAAAAAGCTTAATATTAGTGGAAACATTATCGGTGATATCATTGATGTAAAGAAGGAAGAGAAGTGGGCCAAGGACAGATCATTGAGGTACCCTGCATTAATAACCTTGAATTGAGAAAGATAACCCTCAGTATTAACTCTTTTCTTTCTGTCTGTAAGATGATTTTGGAACCAGATAAGTAAATTTCCATCAACATCATAGTTTTTTAGTTTATGTAGAAAACCTTGGTGCCAAACACGGTCAAAAACATTAACTCCTTTCCCTGGTCCATATTACTAACAATTTCATTATATATGAACAATAATTGATTTACTGTAGAATCACCTGGTGTAAATCCTGACTGATGTTTAGTTATAATAGAATTTTAAACTAGGTAATTATAAAGATATTTGAAAATATTGTTTTCCATTAATTTACGAAGACAAGAAGTTATCGAGATAGGTCTATAGTTTGAAACATCATTGGTTGAACCATTTCCTTTATAAATAGCATTAATGTTTGCTTGTTTCCAACTATTTGGTAGAGTCCCTGATTCTAAAGATTGATTAAATAACAACTGTTACTACAGAATGGTGCTGATACATAGGAACTTTTAATTACGTTTCTCTTATTAGAAAATATAATATCAATGGATGTGGTACTGTCGGGTGTTATTCGTGGAGGTTCATTGATAAAACTAGATAGATTATGTTTGATAAGGAGTCTTGATAAGTGATCTTTTAATGTTAAGTTTAACATGTCAACATTAATATCACCTGTAAGTACAACAGCCATAGAAGTATCAGTAGCTCTAGTTAATGTATCATCAAGTTTGTTCCAGTAGTCAATGTTACTGTCTGGTCTATACAAACAACCAAGGAGAAATTTGTGATTATTAATTAAAACCTCTGACCAAAGTAGCTCTACATCATCCCTTTCTAAGTCAGCTCTTCGTTTCATAATAACAGTGTTTTTGTAATATACTATAACTCCACCCCCTGGACCAGTAGTTCTATCTTTTCTGTGAGGAGTAGAATTAAAGGAGTGTAATTGAATGTCAGTGTTGCTTATCAATGGATTTAAATGTGATTCAGTCAGGCATACTATATCGTCACTTTCAAGTTCAGTTTCAATTAAGGAAGCTTTGTTTCTAAGGGATCGTACATTAAGGTGAACCATACTAAGATTGTGTAACGGTCCAGGATTACTTTCAACATCAAAACAGAGGCATAGAATAATAAACTGTGTAACTAAAAAGAATGATAAGTTATCAAAAAACCATGACTTATAGCTGTTGGCACAGCAAACATACGAACAAGCTATACCTAGCTAGTGTTTGTATCTTGTACAGTTTGAGGTGACAATGCGTTGTAAGTGTTGTACAGCGGTGTACGGAGGTGAGACGGAATGGGCATTTAACAGAGATAACCAAAGAGCACATTGCAGATTTACTAAGGTTACTATTGATTTAACATTTACCCTGTCATTGCATGACCTACACTCATAAGTTATAGCTGTTGGCACAGCAAATATACGTAAATTTAAACAAGTTCAACACTACAAGAGGGAGGCATTTTGTTGTTTGTAAGTTTGAAGAAACAGACATCGACTAGTGTCGTACAAAGTGTTCATAACAGAGTACTAGACGCCTATTTAATAGAACCAGCTGTAATCTGACCTGGAATTGTTTTCTATGCCTCTATTCGAGAAAGCCAAGGCGGGGTTTGGGATTCCCTATCTGTGATAAATGAACTTGTCAAACGAATGCGTTAACGTAAAACGTATCCTCATACAATGTATATGTATGCTGGGAACGCTCCAGTTAACTGAAAATGTATGTCCAACTCACAATGAGATTTTCAAGTTTCCTTGTTAAAACATAGGAAGGCCGGTAAAATAAAAATGCTTTTATTGTATCGTACGAAAGTTCAAGTTCCTTTGTAATTAAAATAAAACATTAAATCCCTAGTACAATCGCATAACAATGGCATATTACGTCATGACATAGTGTACGTACGCCCAAGGACAGACGTGACTAATGATAACCACGCGGACTGACCCATGTTTCTAATTGTACTGTGAGCTGTGATATTGCATTAAGACCAATTTGACACAGTTTGGCGATATAAGCATTCCTAAATAGTGGCATCCTCAATAGTGGTACACAATGACATCGTTTTCTAATCACATCAATATATATCAAATATATTCCAAGCATTAATTACCAAACTGTTGTTTACATAATATTTTAAAATTCAACCCAAAATTGCACTAATGTATTCATTATTTTCATATGAGTAATCCGTAACAGGAATGGCAAAAGGTTAAGGACAGAATTGCGATTTGAACCCCGAACCCCCATGTAATTAAGTCGAACGTCGTAATAAGCTATCTGATCACCGGTGCAAACGACTCAGTCCATGTCCGCTATACCACCTAGTCCTTCAACACAATGTTCCACTCTTCATAAGCTATTTAAAACACCCAAACCGCCACCTATTAATTACAAACAATACAGGACAAAGCAAAAGACACGACCCACTGATTGTAGTCAGTACATAATTACAATTATGAAAAGCATAGTCAACTTCACCGTGATTAATCGCAAAAAATGATATGTTCAAAACATGAACAGAAATGCAAAATCATCACGTGTGCATCACATCTGATTAAGAATCATGCGCACATAATTTGTAACTTGTTTACAATAACATGTTGAACATTAAAGCGTGAATATTAATTTGTAAATTAATTAATGTGGTTTTTAACCGAACTAATTAAGGGACCGTCGATCACATGTGCCATTGTTAAATGTGATACTGTGATAAGGTATCCTGTGTGTATATGATATCGTTACAATGGGTCCTTACACTACACTGGTATGGTTACACGAGTACTGATCTGTTTGTTTCTCGCAGTGACTGCCACAAACACGACCAATAAGTAGTGTATGTCGCCATTAATACAGACAGACTGAATGGCTAAGTGATAAGTTTCTACTCCTTTCCGGTAAGTAATGAACTACTAGTTTGATTGATCTTTGTACTTTTTTTTTTTTTAGATAAAATCAAAACTAATTGTACCTGTAGTAATTATGTGTAAGGAAATAGAAACAACGAACGCTTCAGGTCAATACAGGCCAGAGACTAGCGATTAAACAATGGACTTATCTCGTATTTGTAGGTTATAATTTAACACACATAGCTGCTTATGTGGGCTATTATTTAACACACAAAGTTGTTTGTGTAGGCCATTTTTAACACACTGAGGTGATTATGTATGCTATTATTTAACACACAGAGCTGCTTATGTGGGCTATGATTTCAAACACTTAGCTACTTATGTAAGCCTTTGTTTAACACACAGAGCTGCTAATGTTGGCAACTATTTAACACACAGAGCTGCTTGTGTAGTCTATTATTTAGCACATGGAGCCACGAATGTAGGCAATTAACACACATATCTACTTATGTAGGCTATTATTTAACACACAGATCTGCTTATGTAGGCTATGATTTAACGCACTGGGCTGCTCATGTAGGCAATTAACACACAGATCTGCTTATGTAGGCAATTAACACACATATCTGCTTACGTAGGCTATAATTTAACACACAGATCTGCTTATGTAGGCAATTAACACACCGATCTGCTTATGTAGCCAATTAACACACACATCTGCTTATGTAGGCTATAATTTAACACACAGATCTGCTTATGTAGGCAATTAACACACAGATTTGCATACGTAGGCTATAATTTAACGCACTGGGCTGCTCATGTAGGCATTTAACACACAGATCTGCTTATGTAGGCTATGATTTAGGACACAGGACGACTTGTGTAGGCTATTATTAAGCAAATGGAGCTACGTATGTAGGCAATTAACACACACATCTGCTTATGTAGGCTATAATTTAGGACACAGAGCTGCTTGTGTAGGCTATTATTAAGCACATGGAGCTACGTATTTAGGCAATTAACACATAGATCTGCTTACGTAGGCTATAATTTAACACACTGGGCTGCTTATGTAGGCAATTAACACACACATCTGCTTATGTAGGCTATAATTTAGGACACAGGGCGGCTTGTGTAGGCTGTTATTAAGCACATGGAGCAACGTATGTAGGCCATTAACACACAGAGCTGCTTATGTGGGCTATTATTAAGTACAAAGAGCTGCTTATGCGGGCTATTGTTTATTAAACAGAGCTGCTTACGTATGCTATTATTTAGGACACAGGACGACTTATGTAGGCCATTAACACACAGAGTTGCTTATGTGGGCTATTATTTAAAACAAAGAGCTGCTTATATCTGCTATTATTACACACACAGATGCTTATGTAGGCTATTATTCAAAACAAAGAGCTGCTTATATCTGCTATTATTACACACATAGATGCTTATGTAGGCTATTATTTAAAACAAAGAGCTGCTTATATCTGCTATTATTTAACGCAATGTACTGCTTTGTACTTCAAAATCTGCAATGCTCCAATAGTTGCTTAACTAGCAAACTACCACACACATTGCATTTTCTACCGTATTTAGTTTCCAAACATTGCCCTGCTGATGTGACGTTATATATGGCAGTACTTCACGCTCTGTTACTCCAATAAAATATGTAGACGGACTCTAGCATTCACCTGATATAGTATGATGACGCTTACTGCATTGTACACGACATGAAGTAAAATGTCTCGTTTTGTTTTCTTACAACAGCATCTTGTTGACTAGAAGCCGCTTCCTAACTGAAACAAGATGTCCAGACGCTTGGCTGCCAACATAAAAAATGACCACCTGGCCTGTCCAATCTGTCAGGAGACTTTCACCGACCCTCGCCGCTTACCATGCGATCACACTTTCTGCTTTTCCTGCTTAAAACAATTAATCAAAGCATCGCGTAAAAACAACACTATTCGTTGTCCTATTGACCGGAAGGAAACGCATGCACCGTTTGCGAATGCGTCCGATTATCATTGGGCCGAGTCTTTTCCGAAGGACGAATTGGCGTTATCTCTTCTACAAACTGTACAGGGTGAGGGCGCCGAGACGACATCCGGGATAGTATGTCGGGAACATGGGGGAGAAACATGTGGCTATTTCTGTTTCGGATGTTATGAATTCGCATGTTCTGAATGTGTGTTGGAAAGTCACAAACAAGATGACTGTGATTGTAGAACACTAAAGAAGAGCAAAGAACTGTCGAAAGAACTTTTCAAAGATCGTAAGACCGAGTTAGATGAACTTCTAAAAACCATCGATCGGATGGAGATACACGGTAAAGTCCACGAGCGATCGCTAAGGACCTCTGAAGTAAGAGTTTCTGACAGTCTGCACCTAATAGCCGCACAGATAGAAAAGTTCCGAGATTCAACAATATCCAAGTTGATCAATATGCTAACACAAATCGAGAATGTCAGTGTGACAAAGAATAAGATTGATCAGGCAAAAATGGTGAAGGAGAAGATAAAGATCTACCGGAAACAAGTGGACTACGTGCACCAGAAGACCGATGTGAGAGAAATCCTAACCTCGCTACAGGTTCTTCGGAAGAGGATTCACGAGTTTACAGAGGATGTCTGCTCACTAGAAACTTCCGCAGATTCAGTCGAACTTCACCTCCAGATACATCCAGAACTGGTCAACATTTGTCAAAGACTAGGTAAATATAGCTCAGAAATAGGCAAGCTACAAGTAACTACAGTACAAGAAGGCTTGCAGTTGTATGAGGAATCACAAGCTGACATTAACGGAAAGAAAATATCATTTGATGTTGATATTTCTGGTCACGACGCCTCAACATTTGAATGTCTGTTAGAATTAAACGTATCGGAGGGCAATGCTAGAGACGATCGGACGAAACAGTCTTCTTTCAGTGACGTCGTTCTCATCTCCCATTCTCTTTTTGGTGTTGACCAGAACAACATGAAGATTTTGAGATTTACAGACAGAGGGGAACCGATTTCTTCCATAAAACTGAACTCCGCTTACAGCATCTCTGTTATCCCTGGCACCGATGACGTTGTCGTGACACAGCCTGGTTGCCAGCGTGTTACCGTCCTGTCGACACACAAAGGATTGGATGTTAAGGAAACGATCCCCGTCCACCAGGCATATTACAAAATTTCTGCCATAACTGAAACCAAATTTGCAGTAGTATGTGAGAATTCGTCATCTGACAACCGAGAAAAACAGAAAGAAACCATTAAAACCAAAGGCAAGATGGCGACGTCAGTTCCTGAATCCATGTCCTCATGGTTTGTGCACGTTATCGATAGACAGGGTCACGTGGTACTGAAGGTTAGTGACGACACTGTCTGTAAACCTAGCGTGTATGGACCGCCGTATATAAAGCCTCTAAAGCAACTTGCTGTGACGTCATCAGGGGATATCGTTGTCAGCGTAGAAACACGAGACCATTCATTTCTCTCTTGTTTGTCACAGGGAGGAAAGGTAAACTGGACATACGAACCAGTTGGCAAACCGGAAGGAATATTCTGCAGGGACGGGATTCTGTTTGTTTTTCTGGGAGACTCCCGAACACTATTAACGATGACGGAAGATGGTCATCTGCTACCGAGGTGTAGCATTAAGCTGCAGCACTATCAACAGAGTGGTCACGCTATTTTTGTCGGACAAGATATCGTAGCTGTGACAGATCTTAGTGACAGTATCAACCTATTTAAGATTGACAAATCAAACATCAGCCTGCGCCGATAGATCGTCAGCCATCCGCCACTAGGTCGTGAGCTCGAGACCTACAAGCCACTTTTCGGAGGTCGTTTTTTTTTCTCTCCGGGTACTCCGGTTTTCCTTCACAACTAAAACCTGGCTCCTCCTTACATGACCAGAGCTGTTAAAAGGACATAAATTAAAACTAAACCAAACAGCGCCGGTAGTTTGAGATCTGAATAAAACTCATCATCATCAAGTGTACTAATATATATGTGTGTACAAAGTACTGCTAGATTCAGTCGTTTATCAGTGGTTGTGAAACTTTTCGGTAAATGTCATAAAGGATTGATCGGCCTTTTTGACATTCTTTCCAGGCTCCGTTATAAACACATGTGTATCTGGGAGAGGAAAACGAGTCAAGAAACGATCTTTTATACTCGGATGGTTTTAGACCGAGTGGTACATAAATAGGAGACTGACTGTTTCTGCAATTAGAGTTATATGTTGTCTTATTGATTTCTAAGATAAATTATCATTCCCTAAATTTCTATTTTATCCGAGTATACATTCAATACAATTATATCCATGCCGTTTCCTTTTGGTACATTTCGTGAGCAAATGATTCGTTTAAGGTTTATTCAAATAGGTTTCCTGTGTTAGCGATATTTTTTTGTTTTTATATTTCCAAGCTGTTTAGATTTTGATAAAGGTTCCTGTTTCTTTACTATGCTTCTTGTTTTCATGTCTTATGTTCGAATGCATATCGTTATGTTCTACAAACTTGTCAACACATATCATAAACTCTCGTTTTCTGCTTGTAAGTAACTCAAATAGAATTTTATAATTAATACCGGGCACAGACTCTTAACGTGGAGTGTGTTTCCGTATTTATTCTAAAACAAATTATTAAACCATCATCATGTTAAAATAACATAACACATCTTTACATAAACATACGCTAGGCCAGCCACTAACGGTTGACTTTTACCCGTGCTTATACCCACGGTAAGGAAACCAGTGTGGTTCTACAAAACGTCACAAAGCTACACAGCGCCGTACAGGATCGACGCTGGGAAATCGACAACAGATGAGTGGTTGGATGGTTTATCAGAAGAATCTATTGGAGAGAAAAAAACAAGGCAAAGAAAAAGACGGACGTACCGAGAGCAAGACTGACTTATAAGTTAGAAAGCAGGAAGTTTTGGACTAAAACATGTCTAACGTAAGGTAGCTGAAACGACATCAAAGGATCTTTAAGACAAATAGTCCTATCAGGTTAAAGTGTACCATTGCCATTATTATGAGATATTTCCTAAAATCTATTTCTACCGTAGTATTCCATATAAATTCACATCTTGCAATTCATTTTACAGAGTTAAAGTTGTTCCAAATTGGCATAATTGAAAACAAAAATTAACATATACACACATGTATATATATATAAAACTATACAGGTCAAAATGTGTATCGGTCCGATGCCTACACTTAAATGCAAAGCATCAAAATAAGAGCCGAGTGCATTGAAAAGGGACGTAACTCTAAATCAGAACATAAATTCTTTTTTTCATCATCTATACAGAAGGAAAAGTACTCATAAAAATGAACGGTTCTGAGATGGAAGTTTTTTTTCGATTATAGCTCGCGCAGGCACCGGCATATCAAGTGACATAAGAATATATCTTTGCCTCGGGAAATTCACTAAAGACAAGCCTCGAAATATATCACAATGACATTCACACGTACGAGGAAAAAGAAAGAGATATATAAGCAATTATTTTTGTATGTAACATTGTCAAGCTGCCAGGTAATACATTGGAATGTTTCCTCGACTCAACCATACATTTCCAGCTCAATGGTTTGATTCGTGGTAAGTGACCCATACACTGATAACGGTTCTGTGACTTTACGAAATCTAAAAACAGACTATTTTGTTTGACGAATAAAGCGTATTTCTATTGGAATTAAACCGTTTGCATGCATTTAATAAACATAATTTAAGAAATAAACATACGGTTCATTTCTTAAATTACATAAACTAAGTAAAATATAGACACACACTAATGTATACTAATATCTACAAACTACACGAGCGCGTGTGTTGTCATGGGTTGTTTATCTCCTTTTCTGCAAGTCTGAGAGGGATGTTCGTGTTATTTAGTTCAACTAGGTTTTTTAGCTGTGGGTATCCAAGTAGCCGATATAACTTAGAACAAACTTTGTTAGTTTTTGTAAGGACGTTGGTGTTGATTTGATTTCTCCAAGCACGTGCTGTTTTTAAGGAATCGTGACGATAAGTATTGCCGGGGTCAGCCTCTGCTTTAGAGGCGGTCATTGTTGTTAGGCGGAGTTGTTCAGCTGCGTTAAATTGATATCCTACAAAATCGTAAATTTTCCTGAAAGTTTTTACAGGATTTGTCGTCATATCCTCATAAAACACTGTGCATAACCTCCCGGGATAAACCTGTTTAATTTTTAAAGATTCCAGATAGTCCTGTGTCATTTTGTTACATAATGATACAGCGCCACCGGGGACAGGGGTCCATTTAAATCCTTGCCGTGAATTCATTATAGCCCTTGGATCTCTTAATAGATGTATTATCTTTAAATTAGGTAACCTGTCCAACAGTTTTGATGCTAGGCTAACACTTAACCTAGGAACTTTGGTAACTCGTGAACTACTTTTTGAACATCGGCCGAGATATTTGTCTCGACAACCATTCCACGTTCCATTACACTCCGGAAAAATAAGTTTCCATTGCGGGTTTTTGGAAATGACGGCGCCCAAAGATTTCATATATTGCCACTGTAGTAATAAGTGTTGGTATTGGCGGTGGTCACAGTTGAATATTCCCTGAATGGCATTCAGTGCCTGATTCGCCGTCCGGTTGTTTCTCCTGTTGAAAAAAAAAGCAATTTTTGGCTAACAATTTGACGATCTTTTCACCGTTAGGACTGATTTGGTCTGTGATAACTATTTTTAAACCTCACGGTCTTTACCCTCTATGAAGAAAGGGATAATATAAACCATAGTTCTGAAAGTAAGCTTTGTTTTGCTGCTTTATATAAATCAAAGTACCGAATAAAAATCAAAGTACTGAAATTCTTGATACAATTCTAATATTGTAAAAAATTGAAGATTGATTTTAGCAGTCACTGTTAAAAACACATTCAATGTAATTCAAGGTCATTCACTGGAGTCATGTTAAAGTCCTTTGTTTAAGAATGTTCGTAGCACAATATCATGGACCTTAGCTTTTCCTTATTTGGTAGGTTGTATACATATTTTGATATGTTTGACTCCTGTGACCTTGAAAGTTGATCCAGGTCAATATTTTTTTAACTTGATAGCCAATCACCTCAGCATATTAAAGCCCAAATATCAAGACACTAGGTCTCGTAGAACTTGAGAAGAAGTTTCTTGAAGATGTTACCTTGAAATACAAATGTAGCACATTTAAACATTGACCCCTACAAAAGCCAAAAGTTGACCATTGACACAAAAATGTTTCATGAGAAAAATGTGCAGGTTTGCGCCCTTCATACCGTACCAAAATACAATGTAAATGCCTGAATTAGTTTTTGAAATATTGTAATTTAAAGAAATTTGAGATTTTTCAAACATTTGACCTCTGTGTCTTTGACAGTTGATCAAGGTCAACAGTTTTCTCAAACCTAAATGTCAAACATCTCAGTATCCTACATATCTAATATCCAGACTCTAGGCCTATAGATCTTAAGAAGTGTTTTTAAATTTTGTTGCATTTGAACTTTGACCCCTACCAAAAACCGAAAGTCTACTTTTGACAAAAAAATGTTTACTAAAAAAATGTTTTGTTATTCTACAAAACATATCCAAAGATGAATTAAATAGCTCAAACCATTAATAAGTTATGGCAATTGAAGTAAAACCGGATATGACGGCCCAGTAGTGATTTTGTTTTTTCAATGAAGTCAGAGGACATCTGGGGAAACCTTTCTACCATGTTTTAATAACTATCCTAGATATTGGAGAAAAATAGGTTTTAACAATATAAAGTGTGGGCATTTTAAAAAGATAAAAGGAAATGTTCAAAATGATATTGGATAAACGTTACAGATAAAAATAAAGAAATCAAATTCATTGGGATGGAATTCCCTATCGATTACACAATGAATTTTTCAAAAAAAGGGAAAAGTTGAAAAATTGTTGACCTTTGACCAAATAGCGAGCGAAATTATTTGACCCTTTTTTATATTAACATGTAATGAATATGACGATATGATGCAATGAAAACTTTATTTCAAGCCATATAACATATTAAAAGATTATTAATATACCTTTTGCCATTTAGAAGACATTGTGGGACAAAACTGTGTGTAGGAGAAGAAGAAGAAGAAGATGATTTTCTATTTATTTTTGTTTGTTTGTTATTTTTTTTTAAGAGAACAAGAATTTTAATGTTGAATGGAAATGATCAAATAAGAGACTATAGATTAAGAACCTAATGAGATTTGTGTTTTTTAAGTGAGTAAGCGAATGCATGCACACCGGTTTTAAGACAAACAGAACAATTTATGTATGTTTCAGGTACCCAGACCGGCCATAGTTGTTTAGCCTACGATAAAGTCGGCATCCGATCTGCGCTATGTCAGAGCTATGTCATAGATGTGGTATTATTTACCAAGATATATTAACTCATATTATATTAAAGTGAAGCTATACTGAACATCTAAGGGCCAAGTTGTGGTGCTCTATCGCAAATATTAGTGATACTGGTATACAGCTGAGTGCGTACATACACTCTCTGACAGACCACGAATTAATTCATATTTTAATTGGGGGACAAATGACTTACGAATTAATGTATTAGACATGAATGAATTTAGATTGAAATCAGTAGCAGCTGTCGAAAAGATGCACAAATTATACTACCGGTAGTGTGTAGATGTAATCTCACATCCTGATAAAGAATAATATAAATCAAATAAAAAAAAAAAAAAAAAAATATGAATGTCTAATATGATATGTATGTATTACCTCATCATATATACACTTATTAACGATATTTATTGAATGTATGACTTCAATGTAATTAAGTCTGTATATGTCATGTATGTTATTCGGTGCTTATGTGTATTCAGTATGATTTTTTTTGTAATGTAAATATGTGCGAATTATTCTGTTTAAATGTAATCTTCAAATTGGAGGAAATAACGAGAATAATAATAATGAGGCAAGCACACCAACCTACCCTGTCTCCTGCATACACACACGCAAGCACGCATACACTTCACACATGGAGACAGGTCCTTTAATTACCTTAGCTGTTAATAGAACGCTAAACAAAATTAAACCAAACCAGACCCAAGCAATTTTATCTCACTCGAATGCTTAAAATCGTCACGTTCAAACGCGCCAAAAATCGTCACATTCGAACGCGCCAAAAATCGTAAGTGTCTTTATGACACCTTTCTATTTTATTGGCAGACATCAAAATCAAATTCAAATAAATTAACCCCGACCGACCTACCCTGTATTTTCAGTCATGTTACCTGAAACAAACGTGGTTTTTTTTTTGCCTAAGGGGTAAAGGCGAGATCTTAGTCTGATTTTCCATAATGTTATTTACGGTTGGCCAAATAATACAACACATTTATCACATACCTGTTGAATCTTGTTATAGTAATACAACCAATTTTCAGAC